CATAGACCCCATGCAAGATACTCTTTCACGAAATCTAGTCGACAACTCTTTGTCAATTTATAAAAGATGTTAAACTGCCGGATGGGTTTGGTTCTAACATCAGTAAGAAAGTGAACGATACCAATACTAACATTATTGGGTTGAAATCGCATGACCACCACATTCTTATGCAACGTCTGATACCGATTGGAGTAAGAGGGTTGTTAGACAAAGACACTTATACACCTATTGTAGACCTTTGTACGTTTTTCAAGCAACTTTGTTCCAGAACATTGAAGGTGGAGGATATGAGGAAAGCAAAAGTAGACATTATTGCAATCTTGTGCAAGTTAGAATTGGTTTATCCTCCAGCGTTTTTTGACATTATGGTTCATTTACTTTTGCATTTACCTGATGAAGCGATTGCCGGAGGCCCGGTATGTATGAGATGGATGTATCCCTTCGAAAGGTATATGAAAAAGCTAAAAACTATGTCAGAAACAAGGCGAGGCCGGAAGGTTCTATAGCTGAGGGTTATGTTGCTGAAGAAGCTTTATCATTTTGTTCGATGTACCTTCGAGATGTAAAGAATCGTCCGGAAAGAAATGAAGATGTTGTCATTGAAAAAACAAAGTTTTGGATGTTTGAGTCTAAATGTCGACCGGCCAGCACAACTCAAATCAAAACTCTTAATTTAACGGAAATGCGTAACATGGATTGGTTTGTATTGAATAGCTGTGAAGAAGTCACACAGTATATCAAGTAACTAATCTTATCTCTAACTTTCATCCTTAATTTTTTTTAATCTTTTTAAATCTATATCCTTTGGTCATTAACATAGGAAATTCAAATCTAAACATCCCCAAAGTGATGAAAAGAGAGAATTTCGTAATTGGTTTCGTGAAAAGGTAATATAAATTAATAAACAAATTTGTTTCATTGATCTAACGAATACATAATACATATTACTTTATAATTGCTAGGTTCATCAAATGAAAATAGAAAACTCTCCAGAATTCCACAAAGAGTTGTCGGCTCTTGCAATGGGTCCGCAAATGAATGCTTATTCTTACACCACATGCATAGTCAACGGTGTTAGGTTTATGGTACTTAGTCGTGACGCACAACGTACAACACAAAACTCTGGGGTTTTAGCGGTGGGTGAGAAAGGTGATAAATATTATGGCCAGTTAGAAGAGATTATAGAGTTGAGGTATACACATGATTATTCAACTGTACTATTTCGTTGCAAGTGGTTTGATACTCGAACATGAGTTATTACTAGTGATAATTTCACCAGTATCGATACACGACGCGAAGCATACAATGATGATCAACTCATATATGCTTCACAAGTCAAACAAGTGTTCTACATCAGAGAGCCAAACAGTAACCATCGGTGTGTTGTCGAGTATGTTAACCATCGAAGTATTTGGGATCTACCATCAAACGATGATCGTGTCCAAAATGATGACAATGGCTCACACGAAAATGTAGACAATGTAGATGTACTTCAAAATATATCTTCATCCGATGCTCCACTTTTTATCGATTTCAGCATGTACTTTCAAAACATTCCTAGAGTCATTGTTGATGTAGAAAGTGCAACTGAAGTTCCTCCGCCAACTGGAATAGTCAATGATGTTTCTGATTGCAAGACTGATTACGATGAGACCGATTCTGATTATGATACCGAAGAAGACACTGAAGGATATGAGGAAGATTCTGATTAGAATAGTTCTTATGTAATACGTGTTTGTAATATGAATTTTATTTGGATTTCTTGTTTAAATATAAATGTTTAGTCCTATGTAAATGTTTATTTCTATGTAATGTGTATTTGTAATAAAAATTATATTTGTATATCTTATATTTTTTCAGGAAACGATGACAATATGGGTTTTGTTTATGTATACCATGGCTGTTGTTATGGGTCGTGGACACGGAGGTGATGGAGCTGAGGACCCACCTCTCCCAGGTGGTAGAGGTGCTGGTCATCACGAGCAGGACGGTAAGTCTTATTATGAATTTTTATTTACTAATTTTGTTCAGTTATTACAAATTAAATACCGTTTCTAATAATTTTTAATTTCATTTGTAGTTGAGCAAACTGCACGAAGGAAAGTTCGAGGCAAAGCGAAAAATATAAAGCTTGAAAAAGCGATCTTACGGAACAAGGGCAAACCGATTACCATGGAATATGATAGGGATATCACATTTGATCCCGTAGGAGAGCCGAAAGACATGTTTTCCCGAGAAGTTGGAAAAACAATGTGGCAGATGGTCCCATTTGATAAATGAACTTGGAAAAAAGTTTCCCCTGCGCAATACAGGACACCGTATTACAACATTTAGCGGTAATAATTTATTTAAATATATTTTATATGGTTAACTATAATTGTTTTTTACTTGGTTAACTTTTTTTTTTGTAGACAAAGTTTGATTTGGATAAGATGTACCGGTATGTACAAGCTAATTTGTTGACAGAGAGTTTTCAAGCAGCTTTGTTAAAAGGTTATCGAGAACGTAAAGCTGAAGCAAAAGAATATTTTATGTTAGTCGGAGGGTATGAAGATATCCCGGGAGCATTAGCCAACCCTCCAGAGGGTATGGAAGTTGATAACTGGATGAAAGCAGTTGAGTATTTCCAAACAGACGAACACAGAATTGCTTCAGAAAGGAACAAAAAAATCCATGAAATGCAAACAAATGTGAATCGTGGGGGGTCGAGCTCGTATAGCAGTACTTGCTATAAGAAGGTAACGTACGATACATGTAATTATTTATTTAAAATATAATCTAATTTTTAAAGTTAAACAGAACCTGAAGAGAGTGGAAACGTTTCGCAAAGCTCATACCGATAAGAATGATGTATTTGTTACTGCTGAAGCGGAACAACATATGTAAGTATTTAATTATAATTTTATCATATAATTAAATGTTTATTTATACTTAATTGTTACTCACTTTTGGGAGTTACAGAATCGGTTAGTTGAAGAGCTGTTAGAACAAACTCAAGGTGAAAGTCAGTTAACACCCGCTCAAGAAAGAACTGCGTTTGAGAAAGTATTAGGAGAGCGACGTGGCCATATTAGAGGCATTGGCCGTAAACCTTCTGCTCTCCCGCCGATTCCACAGCCTTCGCAACCATCACCACAACCATCACAATCATCACAGGTAAAACAATCTACTTTGGTAATTTTGGTTTTGTGGTGATTATTTGTTAAAAAGTTTGGTAATTAGGTTTTTGTCCCAAGTGCAAAAAATAACAACGTACTTTGGTTTTTTGTCTTAGTTTAAAAATAGCAATCTACTTTATCATCGTAAAATGCATGTTGATTTGGTAATTTTGGTTTTGTGGTGATTATTTGCTAAAAAGTTTGGTAATTAGGTTTTTGTCCCAAGTGCAAAAAATAACAACGTACTTTGGTTTTTTGTCTTAGTTTAAAAATAACTATGTATTTTCATAGTTTTTGTTTATTTTTGATAATTTAACTTATAAGTTTGTATATGTTGTTATTAATTATGTAGTTGGAAAATCTCCGCGCGATGCTGAATGACCCGGCATGTAGGGATGAGCTGTATTCGTTTTTTCAATCCCAAAATAATCGAGGAAACGATGGGAATGAAGATGATGGTATATAGGCCAGGATGAGTTTTATTTGCATATGTTATCACGCTTTGCTACTTGGTAGATTGTAAAACTTTGATTGTTTTTTGTAATTGTCGGTGACACTAATACCGGGCGACATTATTACTTTTTATATTTAATCGGCTATTATGACTTTTGATATTTAATTAATTATAATCGGATGTTTGTTTTGTAATTAGCATCGACACTATTATTTTTGATATTTAATCGAATGTTGCTATGTAATTACCGAGTACATTATTACCGGCAACCAAAATCGTTAATTACAAAAACAAATTTTAAAAAATGAAAATCGTAATTATCGGCGACACTATTACCGGCGACATGGTTATTACCGGCGACACAGTCATTACCGGCGACACATATCATTAGCGGCGACATCTATCATTAGCGGCGACATGTTCATCAATAGCGACGAAGTAGTAGCCGCGACTTATTACCGGCGACGCGTCGCCGCTATTATCATTACCGGCGACATCTTGGCTTATTACCGACGACTTTTGTCGCCGCTAATGATCATTTTCCTTGTAGTGAATGTTTATCTTGTAATTTTTCCTATTTAATTTATTTATTGAAAAAAGCTTGGATGTCGCACACTCCACCACTCGAATTCTTACGGTCTTCATCAAACCCTATATAAAGCCTCAAATAGACCGAGAATTTTCATCCCCAAAACATGGATGTGTTGATGTAATCATGTAATTAATATGGTTTTTGACTTTACCTAAAGTTACATAAGACACCCTCATGTTTTCATGATTGACAAACCAATCTTTTTCCATCCTGACGAGTTATGTTCCTATTTGTTTGTAACTTTTATATTAGTATTTGTTTGCACAATTAGAAACTTTTAGCAATATCATTTCCTCCATCACTATGTTCAAGGATCTCTGCAGGTGTATTTAATTATTTAATAATGAAACCATGCTTTTGAAGTTAACTATTTTTAAAAGACATATGATCCGCAAGTGTATCTAATCATTTGATGATGAAACCAACCTTTTGGAGTTCAATTTTTTTTTTCTTAAAAAAAGAAGAAATACGATAAAAAATGGTTTAAAAAAAGTTCAAATCTACAAAAAAATTATTAAATTGTTAAAAAAAATCATCTTCTTGTGTTATCTTTTTACACCTTCATATATAAATTTACAAAATTACATACTTACAAACTTATTATAAGGTATTAACGAGATCAAATTATAAGATGATTTCCTTACATTTTTTTATTTAAAAACGTTGGATGATTAACTTAATATTTTGATAACGTTCCCAATCAGGAGCACATGGGCTACATATATTAAATCTTTTGGAAGGTAACATTCAGAGATTCATTGACTTCGGGAGTATGGGTGGGTATAATTAGAGGCACACCACACTCTATAGTTGTCTATATATACCACTCAACATCTATATTAATTTGTCACAACTCAAGCAGAAACAAAGTAATATAACTACTAAGGTTATATTTTATGCCTAATAATTAAACACCCTCCTCCCTCCTCCACCCTCCACCACCACGCCAACACCATGGCCGACCGGAAACCAGAAGAAAATGGTGTCTCCGGCAAACCTAAGCAACTCATGATGGCCGACTTTGATCCCCCAAAGCCACCAAAGAGAAACAAATACGCTTTTGCTTGTGCCATGTTAGCTTCCATGACTTCTATCTTGCTTGGTTATGGTATTTATCTACATCTTCAGTTCATCTGTATTATCGTCTTGATCATCATCATTAATATACTCACATATATATTTTTCAAAACTTGACAAATTTGAGACGTTAGTTAATTGAAGCCATGTGTGATGTGTCCCTAGCGTATTCATGTCCATGTCCTCCTATATACAACTCATGTTACTTATAAAAATATCCATGCCTATATCGTGTTTTTTGGTATATACCATGGTAAAAAATTGTAAACTATTCACACGATACACGTCTTGCCAGAATATTTTTGGTCGCATTCAAAAATAATTATGTTCGAATTTCATCAAGATCGATATGTTATATAATAAGTTAAGACAGGCGTCAATGGATGGATGAACAAGAACTCTACTTCACGGAGATTTTAAGAAATATTATTTTTTAATAATCATTGAAAATATGTTGGTAATGATTTATCTGTATTATTTATACAATAATTAATACAGCTGCTAAAAATAAAATATATATTTTTTCGTGTGGCAGATATTGGTGTGATGAGTGGGGCGCAAATCTACATCAAGAAAGATTTTAATTGTACCGACGTTCAAATCGAGGTGCTCGTCGGAATTCTGAACGTCTACTCGTTGGTCGGTTCAGCCGCCGCCGGGAAAACGTCGGACATGATTGGTCGTCGGTACACCATCGTCTTGGCCGGAGCTATCTTCTTCATCGGAGCAATCTTGATGGGGTTCGCTACTAACTACGCGTTTCTAATGGTTGGTCGGTTTGTTGCTGGTATTGGCGTTGGGTATGCCCTCATGATAGCTCCGGTGTATACTGCCGAGGTTTCGCCGGCGTCTGCACGTGGGTTCCTCACCTCCTTCCCGGAAGTCTTCATTAACGCTGGTAGGCCTCTCTGCAAATAAATACATGAACATACTATTATGCCAATATTTTCCTTTTAATAAATATATAACTTATCCTTAAAACTTTCCACGTAAGCACAATCCATACCTAAGTAAATATACTGTTTAGATAAAACAGTGAAATTGCTGTTACTAAAATTTCGTAACAGATATTTATTTGATTAGAGAAAAATCGATTTTAATAAATTGATGTTATATATATTTCTCGACAACACGTAATAAACTCTGTTTTGTCATTATGGTTTTAACGAAACTTTGAAAATAGTTCTTATTAATTTCAACATATAAGTTGGGGTTAGGGCTATCCATTTGGTTAAAAAGATATCTAACAAAATGTTTCTAACAATGAGGTTTTGGATTTAACAAAGAGCATATACTAACTTGGTGTTCTGAAAAAAATTAATTAATTAATTAATTTCAAATAATAATTGATTTTTTCCCTCAAAAACTAGCTACAATCATAGCAATTTATTACAAACTAGTTTATAATTCGTGGGAACCACGGTTATAAAATTAATTAAACTTTTATAATAAACATTTATAATTATTAATCATTTATTTTAAATAAGTCATTTTAAATAAATTATTAATTAAGATATATATCAAAAGTTTAAAGTTATTATAACTTCAAATTTAACATATAATTAGAAAATTTAAATTTGAATTTTGAAGTGAATTGCCTAATATATCTACATGACATATGACATAATATTAATGATGAGTTGTATTAGAGTGACACTTGGCAAAATGAGATTAAAACTATTCATTTATTAGAATAGGGATATAATTTGCCGTTCTTAATATATATAATAATTGTTTTTTTCCCTCAAAAACTAGCTGCAATCATATCAGTTTATTACAAATTAGTTTTTAATTATAATGTTAAAAAAGATAACTGATAAAGAACAAAAGATAATAAAATCATGTTTACACTAAAGATGGAAAAAAAAACAAACCATTTTATTTTACAAGACTTGAGTCTTATATTTAAACATATATTGATAGGTTTTAGAAGGATCCAGTTATACTAAACAAGATTGTTGTGGACAACATGTAAACAACAAAAGGAATAAATATATTTTTATATATAACGATTTAAAAATATATTATCAAAATGTAAACAAATAGAATGTTTGTTCACAAAATAATATGAAAGTTGTTTTTCAGGGAAAAAGGTTCAAATTGTTTATCAATATATTTTTTTTTAATACAATGTTGCTTTTTAACATCTCAAATAACCCATCAGTAACATTAACTCTTAATTTAAACAAATTATTTTGAAACTTGGTATCATATTGTAGTTTTTGCATTTGTATTTTTTTCATTTTATGTCTCTTTTTCTAATAGTTACAATATATATGTAGGAATATTGCTCGGTTACGTGTCAAATTTTGCATTCTCAAAGCTTCCACTTCACTTGGGATGGAGATTCATGTTGGGAATTGGAGCTATCCCTTCAATATTCCTAGCTTTCGGCGTTCTTGGTATGCCCGAGTCACCTCGTTGGCTTGTCATGCAAGGTCGACTTGGGGATGCCAAGATCGTCCTGGATAAAACATCTGATTCCTTAGAAGAATCAAAACTTCGGCTAGCTGACATCAAGGAAGCCGCCGGGATACCTGAGGACTGTAATGATGACATTGTACAAGTGCCAAAACGTACGGCCGATGAAGCAATATGGAAGGAATTGCTCCTTCATCCTACACCCACAGTCCGCCACATCTTGATGTGCGGTGTCGGTATCCATTTCTTCCAACAAGCAAGTGGAATAGACGCCGTTGTGTTATACAGTACAAAAATCTTTGAGAAAGCTGGTATTGAAAGAGACACACCAAAGCTGCTCGCGACGATAGCCGTTGGGTTTGTGAAAACGATCTTCATCCTAGTGGCAACGTTTTTCCTTGACAAGGTCGGACGTCGGCCACTACTGTTATCAAGTGTGGCTGGCATGATCGTGTCTTTAATGGGACTTGCTTTCGGATTGACTATTATAGAACATTCTGATCAGAAGATCATGTGGGCCGTTGCGCTTTGTATCGCGACGGTTTTAACTTACGTCGCGTTTTTCTCGATCGGGATGGGCCCGATCACATGGGTCTACAGCTCAGAGATTTTTCCTCTGAGGCTACGGGCCCAGGGGTGTAGCATTGGGGTGGCAATGAATAGAGTTGTGAGTGGGGTGATATCAATGACATTTTTATCCTTGACCGATGCGATTACGATTGGTGGTGCCTTCTTTTTGTTTACAGGTATCGCGATCGTGGCGTTTGTGTTCTTTTACACCCTGTTCCCTGAAACACATGGTAGAAACCTTGAGGAAGTTGAGCAACTATTCGGGACCTTTTTTAGGTGGAGATCAAGATCGGTAGAATTGAAAATGAAAAGAGAGGCGGAAATGGCAACCAAGAAGGCCCAAGAATAGGTTTTAGGTTTTAAAATGGCAAGCAATATTATCTATATAATATGTAATTATTGGGTTTTATGTAGGTATTTCTGTCATTTACTTATCAGTTCGACTTGACTTGGGAGAAGTTTATGCTGTTTGGCAAGAAAATTGATATAAATTACCTTTTATCCCCAATTACATAAAAGTATGCAATAAACCCCAAAATTTTAAGCATTTTTTCCTCTAAGAAACAAACATAAAGCAAAAGTATGAACGATTTTTCTTAAAACAGTTAAACTATAGTCAAAACTGATTAAGTGGAACTAATTAAACATTTGTTATATGTTTCTTGACGAATCACTGGTCCATAAATACAAGATTAAAATTAAAAAAAAAGTATTAAGTTATTTTAACATATTTCAACCACTCAAACAAACTCAATCACGTCTTTATGTTTAACACGACTAAAATAACAGAAAACCGACATCTTTTAGTACTCATTAAAGCCACATATTCATGTGACACATGTTTATTTAGGCATGATGAAAAATATCATGTGGGGTTTCTCTTGGAAGAAATTTTGGACCCAAAATTGACAATGAAATGATGAATATAATGAATGTGTTTGTCATCTTTGTGAATGCAAACTCTCAATAATTTAAGGAAAATGATGGCCAGTGAAACACAAAACATACAATAATTAATTACAGCGACTAAGAGCCACTTGTTTATAACCGGATGATTTCTGAGTTGAAAATAAGGTAAAATGCACAAAAGTTATGTGGTTAAAAAAATTTGATTTTGTTATTCCCTTTTTTTTCTTACAATTTAATCACTAAGTTTTCTAACTTTTGCAATATTAACCACTTAAACGGTCAACCCAGTTATCGGTTGTACCGTTGACATGACATTATTTGGTTATATGGCGCTGAGATTTCAAAATTAAAAAAAAAATTGACACAAAAGATACTAAATTTTTAGTTTTTTCTTTTTCCAATTTGTACACTAAATTTTCATATAAACAATGTCCATAAATCTCTTTCATTACAATTAAAAGACAATATGTTAAATTGATTAATGTCGCCATTTTTGTTTATGTTATTAAATTATTGATAATATGTTCACTTATTTTGGTATACAAATGTGAACATTTTGTTGACGGATTATTGTGGAAAGGACGTATATGTATACATATTGAATTATATAAACAATGAGATTATGTGGTTGTTTTCACGGCTTTCGTACTCCCTTTTTATGTGTGTTTGACTATATAACAATATTACAAAAATAGTTAACCACTCGAACTGTCTAGTGGTCTTTGTGCCATCAATAAGACGAAACACATAAAAAGGAGGAGTGTGATAAGATCGTTGAGGGAAAGAAAAAAAAAAGAGTTTTGGGTCTATGTGGAATGCGGGTTATACCGTAGATCAAACTTGACTTTTGTTATCGATTATGTGAAGTCTTGCAATTATTCTGTAACGTATCATCAGCCTCCAGTATTGAATTGTTTTGACATTTGACTTTTTGAACATAAAAAGTTTTCTTTCTCCTTTTCTTTTTTGTTTTTGAGGTAGGCTACAACTACACAAAAAGTATCGACACCAATGTTTTTGGTGAGACTTAGAAGGTGTTAAATTATTCTTTAGAAGCGCAGATATAAGGTTATGAGTAGGGATGTAAATGGTTCCGAAACCGGAGCGGAACCAGAATAACCGAAAACCGGTTAAGGAGTAAACGGGGAACTGGAAAATGGACCAAATTGTTAGGATCGAGACACGAACACGAAACTCTCACTCTCAGCTCACGAATTATAGAAAAACAAGAACACAATGATTTAAGGTGGTTCGGTCTATTTCTGACCTACGTCCACACGAGGGTAACTAGGAGTGTATACATTTCTTCTGTGAAGTTTGTGATGGATCCTTACTTACAAATACAGAGCAATCTCATTTATAGAGATTGAAATTGAGAAAGTATATTAAACAAGAAAAAAACATCCGGGTCTTCATCCACTACCTCAAAACATGGATGTCCCCTTTTTCTTTCTCCATGTTTTCTGGCTTTCCTTGTTTCCTGCCACTTCTTTTGACTAGCCCAATGGCTTCACACTCAACAATCTCCCACTTGAAGCCACGAAACAATCTTTACCATAGCTTCAACTGTGTATCTGTATTTCTGTAAAAACTTTTGATCTTGACTCCTTCCTAGTTACCCTGGCCTTCTCTTCAATTGACCTGAAGGCCAGTTGAAGCTATGCAAAACTTCAACTTCTCTAAGGTAACAACCTTAGTCAACATATCAGCTGGATTTTCAGTTCCTTTGATCTTCTTCAATTTCAGAGTACCGTCATTAATTCTTTCTCTGATGAAGTGATATCTCAGCTGTATGTGCTTTGTCTTCGAATGGAAGACCGGATTCTTTGCAAGATATATAGCACTTTGATTATCACAAAATAGTGCACAATCAACTTGTTCCTTGCCAAGTTCTTCGAGAAAGTTCTTCAACCATATAAGCTCTTTGCTTGCTTCAGCAACTGCCATATATTCTGCTTCTGTGGTTGAAAGGGCAACACTTTTCTGTAGTTTGGACATCCAACTTACTGTAGTGCCTCCTACTGTAAAGACATACCCTGTGGTGCTTTTGTATGAATCTTTACAACCACTAAGGTCTGCATCTGCATAACCCCTTAGAATGACATCTTTTCCCTTAAAATGCAATGCCATCTTTGAAGTCCCCTTCAAATATCTTAGCAGCCATTTAACTGCTTCCCAATGTTCTCTCCCCGGATTGGACATAAATCGACTAACAACTCCCACTGCATGAGCAATATCTGGTCTTGTGCATACCATTGCATACATGAGGCTACCAACTGCAGATGCATAAGGTACTTTAGCCATTTCTTTCTTGTCTTCATCTGATTTGGGCGACTGAACTTTAGAGAGCTTAAAGTGACTTCCCAAAGGTGTGCTTCTGATCTTGGCTTCTTTAAGGCTGAATTTCTCTAACACTTTCTCAATGTACTTCTCTTGAGAGAGTGTCAAAGAGCCATCTTCTTTGTTTCTGGAAATACTCATCCCGAGTATTTGGTTTGCAGCTCCCAAGTCTTTCATCTCGAATTCTTCAGACATTTGCTTCTTTAACTTCTTGATCTTTGACATGTCTGAACCGGCAATCAACATATCATCTACATAGAGTAGTAGAATGATATAAGAACCCTTAAACTTCTTGATGTAACAACAATGATCATTTTCACATCTCTTGTAACCAACTCTTCTCATGAAGTTATCAAACTTCAAATACCATTGTCTGGGTGCTTGTTTCAGACCATACAAACTCTTCTCAATTTACACACCAAGTTTCCTTTGCCTTTAACCTGAAAACCCTCTGGTTGTGTCATGTAAATGTCTTCACATCTAGCTGCTCTAGATGCAAACCTTCTGCTGCTACAATACTGAGAACAAGTCTGATAGTGGTCATCTTCACTACTGGAGAGAATATTTCATTGAAATCGATTCCCTCTTTCTGTTGAAAGCCCTTGACTACTAATCTTGCTTTGTACCGTTTGGTACCATCATGTTCATCTTTGACCCTGAAAACCCATTTATTCTGAAGAGCCTTCTTCCCAACTGGAAGCTTTGTTAAGTGCCAGGTCTTGTTCTTCTCAAGCGACTTCATTTCATCTTTCATTGCTAACTCCCACTGCAATGAATCTTTCAACCCTATAGCTTCAGAGTAACACTGGGGTTCACCGTTTTCTGTCAAAAGAATGTAGTTGACAGATGGTGAGTATTTGTTTGGTGGTCTGGTGACTCTGGAAGATCTTCTTAGTTGAACTTGAGGTGTGACTGGGGACTCTGGAGTTGGAGGACTGGTTTCTTCATCTTCAGAATCATTATTGGAATTATCCACTGAGCTCGCACTGTTAGTTGAATCATCCCCAGATTCAGGGATTTCGACTGGAGCTTCTTTCTTCTTTTCAACACCTTCAAACTCAACATACTCCTTCTGATCTTCTGGACTTTTGTTGTTTCTGTCTTTGTATAACTCGGCTTCGTTAAAGGTGACATTCTTGCTTCGGATTATCTTTCTGCTTTCACTATCCCAAAGCCTGTAACCCATTTCATCTGACCCATAACCAATGAATGTGCACTTCTTGGTCTTTGAATCAAGTTTATCCCTGTCACCATCTTTTAACAAACTGTAAGCAGTACAACCAAAGACTTTCAGGTGTTTGAGACTTACTTCCTTCCCTTGCCACATTTCTTCTGGTAATTTAAAATCCAAGGGAACACACGGTGACGGTTGATCAAGTAGGCTGCAATATTAACTGCATCGGCCCAGAATGTTTTGGGTAGACCGGCATTCAACCTCATGCTTCTAGCCTTTTCATTCAGAGTTCTATTCATTCTCTCAGCTACACCATTCTGCTGAGGAGTTCCTGGGACCGTCTTGATCATCTTTATCCCTTCTTTCGCACAATAGTCAACAAACTCCTTGCTTATGTATTCACCACCATTATCCGACTTCAGGCATTTTACCTTCAAATCAGTTTCATTTTCAACAGCAGATTTCCATATCTTAAAAGTATCAAATACATCAGATTTATTTTTAAGAAAATAGACCCATACCTTGCGTGTTGAATCATCGATAAAGGTTACATAGTAGTTTTTGCCTCCTAGAGATGAAACTGATGTTGGTCCAAATACATCCGAGTGAACAAGCTCCAACTTCTGAGCTTTCGGTGTCTTCCCCGTCTTTACAAAAGTAACCCGCTTTTGTTTCCCGAGAACACAAGATTCACAAAATTCAGTTTCAACTTTCTTCAAGTCTGGAAACTTCCCTTTCTGAGCCAACATCTTCAATCCCTTATCGCTCATGTGTCCGAGTCGTTGGTGCCATAAATTAGATGGACTCAGATTGATGGTTACGGCATGAACACCATCACCAGGTATTTCTACCATGTATAAAGTGCCTTTCTTCTTTCCTTTGGCAATCACCAAGTTGCCTTTGATCACTTTCCATTGTCCACCCCCAAAGTGAACATTAAGTCCTTCATCATCCAACTTACCAACTGAAATCAACTTTCTCCTTAAGTTTGGGATAACCCTGACATCTTTCAATGTCCAGGTGGTTCCCATGGAGGTCTTCAAATCTACGTCTCCTATACCCGTAATATCAAGCACTTGATCATCGGCCAAACTAACTTTGCCAAAGTCACCTGTTTGTAGGTTCTTGACCATATCTGGGCATGAGACAGCATGGAAAGAGGCACCCGAATCCATAATCCAGGATTCCATTGAATTCTCAACACAACATATGAGAAAATATCCCGATTCTTCAGAGGATACATTGTGTACTTCTTTCTTTTCAGCTTGTGGTTTTGGACATTGGTTTCTAAAGTGACCTTTTTCTTTGCAATTCCAACATTCAATATCTTTTCGGTTCTTGGACTGCCCCCTTTTTCTAGACTTTGATCTGCCTCGACTACGTCCTCTTTCGTTTCTTCTTCCTCTACTTTCTGTATGCAATAAAGAACTAGAACTAGAAGTCTCACCATTGCTTCTCCGTCTGATATCTTCATTTACAATCAAGTCACGAATACTCTCGAAAGTGAGTTTAATAGTGCCGGATGCACTACTAACAGCTGTGACGGTGCCTGACCAACTATCAGGCAAAGATGATAAAAGGAGGAGCGCTTGTACTTCATCTTCAAACTTTATTGCAACTGAGGCTAAACGAGAGATAATCGAGTTAAACTCGTTTATGTGAGCGGTAACTGACATGCCTTCCTTCATTTTGGTGTTAACCAATTGTTTGATGAGGAACACTTTGTTGGAAGCGGACGGCTTCTCGTATATGTTGGACAAAGCCTTAAATACTCCATAAGTAGTTGTTTCATTAACAATGTTATACGCAACACTCTTTGCCAATGAAAGCCTAACTACACCCAAGGCTTGTCGATCCAACAACTTCCATTCTTCATCATACATGTCATCCGGTTGTTCGCCCAATATAGGCAAATGCAAACTTTTCTGATACAACATATCTTCAATTTGCATCTTCCAAAATCCATAATCGGTTCCATCAAACTTGTCAATTTTGATTTTACCATTTTCTACCATTTTTGCAATTTTCTGAAAAAACAGGGACCTGTTTTGTAATTTTCTTGAACTTTAGGGACCAAATATGAGTTTTTCAAATTCTGCTACAGTGACGCTACAGTGTCGCTACAGTGATGCTACAGTTTCGTCTTCTCCGGCAGGTCTCCGGCGTACAGTGTCGTCTTCTCCGGCAAGGCTCCGGCGCTACAGTGTCGTCTTCTCCGGCGAACTGGTTTTCCCGGTCACTATTCCGGCGAACCTTTGACCGGCGATTTGGACGTCTTCCGGTGGTCGAAAAATTCAGAAAAAAATATTTTCGGAATCTTCGGAACGAGACCTTTCCAACGGTATACACCAAAATCGTTTTTTACGAAAACAAATTTCGACCAAAAAACTGAAAATCACCTTCTGGAGCTAAATCAACGCTCTGATACCACTTGTTAGGATCGAGACACGAACACGAAACTCTCACTCTCAGCTCACGAATTATAGAAAAACAAGAACACAATGATTTAAGGTGGTTCGATCTGACCTACGTCCACACGAGGGTAACTAGGAGTGTATATATTTCTTCTGTGAAGTTTATGATGGATCCTTACTTACAAATACAGAGCAATCTCATTTATAGAGATTGAAATTGAGAAAGTATATTAAACAAGAAAAAAACATCCGGGTCTTCATCCACTACCTCAAAACATGGATGTCCCCTTTTTCTTTCTCCATGTTTTCTGGCTTTCCTTGTTTCCTGCCACTTCTTTTGACTAGCCCAATGGCTTCACACTCAACACAAATACCACTAACCGGTTCCGGTTCGGTTCTACTAAGAAATGTGTTATCTAAGAAGGTGTACGGAACCCCAAAACCGAAAATAATGGAATGGGAGAATCAAGAACGAGACCAAATACCATTAATCGGTTCCCACCGGTTCCAGTTCTGATTTGGTTTCTGATTCCGGTTTGGTTTTTCGGTTAAAAAGTTCATCCCTAATTAGGAGAATAATTAGTGTGATTTATTTATTGATTTTTTATGTTTATAAATTTATTTATTATTTATGTATTTATTTTGGGGGGGAGGAGCACAATTACTGTGACATTACACAAGACTTTCAATCCATCATAAGGAAGCCCAAAAGAAATTTATGATCAATTAATTATGAACGATTATATTTGAATAACACACATAAATCTATCTTTTTAGAATGGTGGGACGTCTTTCTTTCATCTAAAAATCTAATACCTCTTTATGTTCGTCATTCGTTGTGGCTAGGATGAAACTAACTTATAAGAGTATGTATTCTGCAACTTTTAACTCTAACTCGTATTGAGTTTAGTTCATATCTATGAAACAACACAGGCTGTCTATATCTAACTTTTCCTGACTATATAATGATGAATGATTCCAGTCTCTAAGGTTAAGAAAAGATAGTTTAAAGGCTTTTGATTCATTCAGAGACATTATCAAACACGTTGAATGCTGACGGATTCGGATTCCAATGTGATCTCTAACTCTAAATAGTTGGTCCTTACCCTAAGGACATTGCTCAATATAAAAACAACCCACCAAAAATGCAAGTCCGGATCAACTAGATCAAGTATGCCGTAACTCGTAAACTTATAACCTAGATTTTGTTCACCAGGACACAATTGTAAAAACTGCAGGTTAAATGACTAAAAAAACCCTCTAAATTATAATAAGAATAACTTAGAGCAAGAGATGATGAATGTAAAAACATCAACTGCTGCTAGAAAAAAGAAGATAGTAATCCTTAAAACCCAATTTTGAGCCTGCTAAAACAGTGAAACTTGTTCGTCTCATTTAGAAATGGAAATTGGTGAAAGAGATGACAATCACTTTTCGATACCCTGTTGCAAATACTGTATAAGATCATAGCCAGCAGTAGTCCATTTGTTATAGGCATCCTCACATATATGAATCATGTGATTTGCAGCTTCTCTTTCAGTCATCTCTGGACGAAATCTTTTTCTCAAGTTCCCAATGGGATCTCCTCTGCTAAAACAAGGCAACCCGCTTTCTACCATCATCAATACCGTGTTTATAATCCCATTCATATACCGACGTGCAGTAAGGTAACCCTTAACACACAAACTGACAATAAACCACAACACAGCACCAGCCTATTATTATTATTATTATTTCACTTATTTGATTAATAGTGTTAGTTAGACACCAAATTACCTTTCAAATAAATGCCAAGTATCACTTTTCATGGCACCAGATGGATCAAGTAACTGAGTCATCTCATGACTCAGTTTAAAATGAGCACTTTCAAACCGCATGTTCCCTCCAGGTGATATCTCGAAGATGAAACCAAAATCAATATGGACAAGCCTACCTACACTGCATCCATAAACAATTTTTTATCTGTTTATCAGTTTGGGGACTCATTTTTTATACAATAATTTATGCTGTTACCTTACCTGTCAATTAAAATATTTCCATTGTGTCTATCTTTTGGTTGAAGCAACAAGCTGGCAACAGCATAACCAGCGCTACTCACAATAAAATTCTCACGTGCAGTTTCAAAACCTGGAGAACCAACTGGCCCGTAATCCTGTTGAAATATTTCATATAAACCGCCATCTGTCGTCTCACCCATTTGGCTTCTGCTACGTGAATTTGGCACAACCTGCAGGGGTAAAACTGGAAATTATTCATTTATTACAAAAACTACAAAAAAGAATATATATATATATATATATATATATATTGAAAAATCACGTGCCTCGATTATGCCTCTTTCTGGGTCGGTTGGAAGCACTCCGTACGGATATAAATAAAGAGCGAGTCCAACCCCTTCAAATATGTCTTTCAGAAGTGAGATTACTTGTAAAGCAAGCACGTCTTGTCTACAGTCGTCTCCAACCTACATTACATAAAGATAATCATTTAATCATGTGATATGACACAATCTGTTGTATCTAATTATTTAATAATGAAACCAAGGTTTATAGGTGATGTCTAATGAAGAAGTAAACGCTTGCCTTAAAAATACAAGCTTGGGGTTTTATATCTTTTGGGTCCCCATCTCGATCAGCCACATCAAAAGTGATCATAATTGGGACTTTTGCTGCTGACTGTAAAGGGATTCCACTATTGACCTGAATACCCCTCACAAACTTACTAGGAGCTGTAGGTAGATAACAATCATCTCCAGGTAACTGAATTTTTTCCAACTCTCTGTACCCATATCGTTTATAAATATTAATAACCAATAAACTATATGCTAAAAACAGGAAAACATAAAATTTAATCAATATAATAGAAACAACTGAGAGATACCTCTTGATGCCAGCTCTCCTTTCTTCTTTGGGGAGTGGATAGAGAGCACCTGATATTGAGGTGACTTTTTCAAAGAAATCAAATTCTCTGTGAAACACTTCACGTGCCTCGGGGGTAAAACCGTCAATAATGTGGTCTCTAACAATGGGCAGTAGAGCTAGAAATTCTTGTGTCTGAGAAGGACAAAATGGTCAGAACTCAGAAATGTTTGTAAATCATAAAAAACAAGTGATGTAGTGCAAAGCAGACATAGGTGATAAGACACATTTACCTTTGCAGTTATTACTTCTTTACCTTCTGGTGCACACGTCTCCCCCTGTGATCAATAGACATATATTGAAAATAGGCTAAATTACATTTATCGTCCCTGTGGTTTAGCAAAAGTTATGGATACCACGACCATCCCTGAAACTAGTTTTTAACCGCGATCGCCCCTGTGTTTTCATTTTATTTTTGTTTCGATCTCTAACTTGTGTAAAATGACTATTTTACCCTTATTTCCTCCCTCCCTTATTAACCCTCTGATCAGGCAAGCTCCCTAAGTCTCGATGATTAATAACGATTACAATAATAAACAAATAGCAAAAGAAATTACAAAAAACAAATAAGGGCGAAATAGTCATTTTACATCAGTTAGGGACAAAAACTAAAACAAAATCATACTACGTGGAAAACAAACGTAATTTTTCCTTGAAAATACCTGTAACTGCCAAATTAGAATATGTGCAAACACGTCACTCCTTTGAGCAGCTCTAAGCAAGTATCCTTCAACCAACTTCTGCAATTTTGAGGCAATAGTGAATTATGTAAAATTAAAGGGCGTGACAATATATTAAAAAAAGTATAGGAGAGAAAGGGAGTTGTTGCCAATACCCACCTCATCATCGTACCTCAAAGCTTGAATGAGCTGGGGCATGAAAAAGGTTACTTTGGAAGGAGGGTAAGATTCCAATACCCTGAGAATATAAGCCATGACACGTGGATGACCTTTGTATGCTGGAGTAAAGAACTCTAAAGCCATTGTAATAGAACAAGCAGCCCAGTATGGTAATTGTTGCAAAAGAGGAGAATTATCATCCACAGCCTTAGGGGTCACAAAATATGGTAAAGCCTCAGGTATGCTACGGATTTCCAAGATATGTGTCTGTAACATTTACAGAAACAAACATGTAATTACATTTACAAATATAAGATAAAAAGAATTCAACCTTTAAATTAGCTGATAGCTGACCTGAACCAACTGAGTAATCTCTGCCTTTAGACAAGTATTTGTTGGAAATCTAGCCCCCAAAGAGAAAGCAATCCGAGGATCAACAGCAAATGCAGTTCTTGCATACTCAACCCATTTCTCTGAGGTAATTTTTGGCCTATAACATGTGTTCTCTCTACAATTCATGAGAATATAGTATTTTATTATGAATAACTAATAAAAGATGAAAGAGATGTCACATGTTAAAAAATTGCAGTTGATGAAATTACTTGTAGTTAACAGGTTGGGCCCAAACTTCAAGCCTGTCAGCTTCATGCTGGCATAACATTAAAAGTAGCTGCTTCCTCTTATCTCTACAAGCTGCATAGTTCTCCATTGGTCCCCAAACAGGGTGACACTGATCCTTCTGAGATTGTTCATTGTTAATTAAAATCATAAAACACAACAGGATAAATGGCAATATCAGTGTCTTACCATGTCAAGCAAAGATCCCCCATATTCGCCACCCAGTGCTTTTGGATCATTTTGGAGATAGTGAACAAATGAATTAACAGATTGAGCCTCGCTGTGTGCAAAATTTCCATGATCATGTTCAAACCATTCAGGTTCATAAGCAAACCAGCCTAATGCAGCCCTGCAGTCAGTTTCAGTTTTCCACTTCAGAATTTAAATTAAAAGAAAAAAGTTATATTATGAAGAAAGACGAGTAGAATGTAATACCGATAAATCCCATCTTCCAGCAGCTGAATTCCCAATCTAACTTTTTGTAGGTTCCCTTCATACTGGCATGCGCAGAATTTAAGTCCAAGCAGCATGACTGTGAAAAACGTACCAGCAGCAGCTGGATGGTGTGAAAATTTCCATGGAAGTTTGGTGGTCCCTTGTAACATCCTGCCAAGAAGCAAGAGTTGTACCAGACTATCATGTCGTACTACCTGTAAAAGCAAAGAGGAAAGATCAGAGAAGAAAAGAGTACGTATATAAATCAAATAGAAAACTGTTTACGTACCTCAAAACGGTCAATGAAAAATCCGATCCATAGCTTATGTGCTAGAATCTGTTCAACTGGATCCTTTTCAGGCGGTGATTCGGGCTCACTAGGTTGAAGATGAGGCCTTAACTTGGCAGCTGGTCCAGAGAACCTCGTGTCAGATGCAAACAGACCTCGCTTGGTATCGATTGTCCATAACCATGCATCAACAAGCTCCGCGAGTACCACAGGGCCCAATTGAGGAGCAGCAGAAACTAACCATGTCCATATGAATATACCAGTCTCCATAGCATCGATTGTAGAAATGTACGCCGGACACCAGCAAAGAAGCCGGAGAAGTTGCGAGAAGCTCTCCACATTTGTTTTCGAATCCGCATCCTGAAAATCGAAAAGGTTCATCCAACATTTATTTATCAGACTTCTTCGTCAAAATTGGTCAACATGGTAGTCAAAGGCGATGGTATGTTTACAATACCAGAGTCGAGAGGAGCAGTGCAGCCGCCTGGGAGCATGTTTCCCGGAATGAAGCTTTGTCCACTTCGCCGCCTTTTTCTGCACCGGAAACAAATTTTTGAAGAAGACGGACAAATTTATTAAGTAGTATCGAACCGAAGGACTCTTTTTTGGGCTGTGGTGGTTGAGGAAAAGCTCCGGATATCAATCTTGAAAGACCACTAGCGCTAGGAGTTGGTGTAGGTTCAAAGTCATCATCTGCTTTCTCCATATTCTCATACAGCCTTGTCATGCCAGCAATCTCTCCAGAATGATTACATTTCACCGTGGCACTAACAATAGCAGTGCCAAGAACTTCGATATTGAACGCCTCTGTTAGATTGAGATTTCCTCCTGATGAAGCAGCTGCTGCAGCCATCACTGCCGGGATATTTGCAGTTTTTGTGCCATTCCAGCAATCGCTTTTGCCTGTACCGATTCGTATCTCGGACAATAGAGAAACAACATCTGTCGTTGGCTGTGCTCTTTGCCATGTGTTTGCTTTACAAAGTTTCTCCTGAAGAAGACCCTGGCTTGTGCATGGAGCGTGTGATAGGGAAATGATAATCCATTCGCGAACAATTTTTTGGTACAATGAGCGAACAGAAGCTATCCAGGTAGGATCACTAACAATAGCTGCAGGCGGATCATTATGGACAGAGAATAGGAGAAAATCCAGACAAGATGAATTCCACAATATCTGCAACCATGTGATGATGTGATCTGGAATGTTGAGAATAAATCAAAGGAAAGTATTGAATCAGGGCAAATACAAGATGATACCTGTGGAAATCTATCCCTCAGTAGAGACAAGAGTTTAACTGAGACATCTCGGATGTGTTCATCTCTCTGAGACATACTCTTTATGAGAAAACATGCATGGACAGCGAGAGTCATCTCCTTAACATCCATAGCATATCCTGTCTCAAATACTTGATCCTCCTGAACCGATTATGAGCATTAAACATTAGAGGATGGATTTTGTCTTGATCAGAAAAGGAAGGAAAGGAATCGAATTAAAAATTACCAGCCATGAGAGTGATGTCTCAAATGCACGGTGGACAATGGCCATTAAGCACTGGAAAACAGCAGGTGCAAGATTTGGACTTTTGAGATACTCAAAAGCGCAGCTGAAGGCACTCCTGGAAGCCATAGAAGTAGGACCACAATTAAGGAGTCCACCATTGCTGCTAAACCGTATTATTTCCAAAATCGCAACTGCAAGAAGATAAGTCGCCTTCACTCCTGAAAAATTTTCAGCAAAAGAAAATTAAGCAATCTTTTCACAAACAGAAGTAACCAAATAATCTTACGAAAGCCAACAACAGATATACCTGAAATCGTGCTCATTGCATAAACCTCAACGCGCCCACCTAAAGCAGCAGAAAGTGCTGCTCTTTGATTTGCAGCAGCTTTTTCGTTTCCACTTCCTCGACGACTACCAGGGTTGTGAAGAGCATTAAGTTCCAACTCATCTTCAAGCCATTTCACAGAGCTAACCACCTAACGATATGGGTGAACTTAGTACTGAATGACAGGTTTTTATGATTTGATTTGAATTGAACTTATAACTTTACCAGGGGTGGGGTCCCTTGAGAAATACGTTGAACGGAAGAAGACCACTGAGGACTCCACATGTAAGGTCCACTTACAGCTTGAAGAGCGACTGCAGTCGTGTTCCCTGTAGTGTTCAAGGTTGTAGAATTTGGCTTCGTTGGTGTAACTGGAGGCGCTAGACCAAAAAGAGCGATGTAGAACCATAGGTTGCGGAATAACTTCAAAACGGAAGGTTCAACGTCTGCTGTAGGATCAAAATCAGAACATATTTCAGCCACCGCAGGAAGTAATGGCCCTAGAAAATCAGCTCCGCTGCTGCATAATTCAAAAGAATATGGTTTTAGAATACTGTGGATCGTTAATCGTAGTCGACTACTATTTGTAAAAATGAAACAACTTATACCTTCCACTTTTGGACTCCGCAGCCAAGCCGACATCTGAGCATAATGATAAAAGGCGCTGACGATAGTCAACCCGTAGTTGACCATTTGTAAGGCCTCTAGCTATTAATTCAAATCCTGCGGGAAGAGTCTAGAATTAATTGAACAAATGAGCATCTATCTAGGATAATATTGGTTGACAGTAAACTTTATTCTAGGTTTAACAAGTTGGAGTTCATAAAACAATGACACCCATGCTTATTGATTAATGGCTAAATTAATAAAGCTTGCATGTCACGGTTTTCTATCACTAAAATGAATGTAGGAGTAGGGTATTTACGTAATTCCAACAATACATACCTCAAGACGTTCTGTATTAGCTTCTTCTGACAACTTATCGCTTTCAGCAGATCCTATGCTAGTAAGTTTGCTTAAGTAACTTCTCATCATTAGCACAACAACTTCACGATACGACTTCTCAAAACCTAAACTTGCCATGCGAGAAACCGCATCAAGAATCTACAAAAACAACATAAACAAATTCAGACAAAATATAATGCTTTTGTAGAAAAAGAAACAAATAGTTCAAGGAATCATACCCTGAGGCGCAACGATCCAGGTGTTGAAGCATCACCCTCCTCTAGATTTTCAATGAATAATGGCAATATTGTGTCAACCACTTCAGGTTTATTAACTTGTACATTTAGCTCTGCAAGCAAGCGGATGACATTCAGCTGTATGGTAGGAACAGCCTTCTTATCTTTAGCATCCTGAATTAATAAATACAAGTGGTAATAATTATACATAACGATGATGTTCCAATGACCAATATATACAACTTTGAAGACACAATACATATACAACAAACCTTTTCCTCATAATCATTGTGTTCACGAATGCTTGTAGCTAACCCCATGATAAATGTATCCACAGGAGCCCGATCTTTGGTCCATCCATATTCAATTATCTCACAGCTTGTCTTTAAAACACTATCAAACATAACTCCCGGACTACTTGCCACAGTGTCAGCCTACTCAAACAATCATAACAAAAATAAGCAAATCATGAACAAGAATTAACCAAACTAAGATGAAGACAAGAACTGGTAAAAAGTAAAAAGTATCTATGTACCTGGGCACATGTAATTAGCACAAGTTGTTTGAATCGAATTAGCAGAACCCTTAGTAGATGACCTCCACGTGAAAAAGCAATTTTGGAGATGCCATCAAGCAATGAGATGAAAAGATCTTCACATGTCCTTAACCTACGCCACACTGAATACAGACAAGCTTCTGCAGCTTCTACAAGGAAAGCAAGAGCTCCATGCAACAGTTTCTTTGATGACTTCCCATCTAACTCACATGAGACATGGCTTCTAACTTTTAACTTTGCTGCAGCTTTGTAAACAGAAAGCTTTGTATTAATCTTAGCTTTCAGTGCTGCACCCTGTTCTGTCCAATCATGCTTCCTTATCTGCCAACAAAACTACGCTTCATATTTGTTTCTAAAGCTGTTCATATGAATAAATTATGTTTGATGATTTTTACCTTTAGAAAAGCAGTCATCAATCGGAGTTGATCCTTTGAGATAAGGCGTACACGTTCTAAAAGCTGGGTATCAATCTGAACTTTATCAAGAATGCGCTCAATCAATTGGAAGGCAATCTCTTGTTTCTCTAATTGCTCCATAGACTCTTCGTTGAAAGATGAAACTCCCTTACTATCTCCATTAGTTGACGAACTAGAAGCAGGTGAAGTAACAATGGAATCAAGTAAAGATGTAACCAGTTTGTTGGCATCTGCAGGCATAATCTGAGGAAAACTCTCTGACAACGCGGATAAGAAAGCCCTAGAAATTACTGAATCGGAACTCCTGTCATTGTCATTGAGAGCAGAGAAGACAATACCTCCCATGAAGCCTGCAACTTCTGTACTAAAATCCTGATACAGTTCAGTTGCTTTAACGACGTACCCTAAGAATTCGTTGTAAAATGAAGCAATGGATGCGTTTGGAAAGGACTTAGGCCAAAATGATTGGGCAAACGACGATGGGATCGAGCGAATGAACTCCAGAACCGTATTCCGAGGGCTTGAATCGTCGTAATTAGGGCATTTGGAGATGAATCTGGCCGTTGCAAGAAGAGCATTGAGTTGGAACCGTGAAATCCGAGGAGAACCGGAGAGGAGCGACTCCGGTGCAGGGCATCGTTTGCAAATCCAGGTAATTTTGGCGGAATATTGATTAGGATTATGCGAGATCAAGTCGCAAAGCTCCGTTAATGCCTCCATTGTCAACAATTAATCAAAAATAGGAAAATAAAAAAGTCGTGATTCAATCAAAACTGCATACGGCATTGAAGGATTGCACATCGATGAAATTCAGGGTTCTTCTGTGTTAATTTTGCTACTGATATATTATTGCATGCAAAATAAAAGCTTTTTTTCTCGCAATTCTACAAACTCCAAATACGTTTGTTTCTCTCATTTCATCCGTTTTCCACGATTCCAAAATAGACCTGTTTGTCTTGTCCGTTTTTGTAGATAATGAATAAAATCCACAAAACTCCTACCACCCGTTGCTGCCGTCAATAATCAATATCCTCCTGCTCGACTTCTCCGTTGGCCGCCATGAAAATGCTAAGACTTTTGATCAAGATACGAATAAGAAAAGTTAACGTTACTGTCAGATTTGTTCAAACTTCCCCGTCATGGCCATGGGTGCTTGTGATTGTGAGGCAGGGGTTCACAACTTCACATACATGTCAAAAGCTGCAAAGGAACTGAATCGTTCATGAATCTAACTTTAGATTTGATTATTTAATAAATAAATGAGCAAGATAAACAAACGAACACACGATAAATGGTCTCGTTTATTTTATTTTATTTTATTTTTATTTTATTTAATAATTTGTGAAAAATAAAGTTACAAAATTAATTAAATTTTCATAGTAAAAATTTATAATTATTAATCAATTGTTTTAAATAAATTATTAATTAAAAGATGTATCAAAATTTTAAAGTTATTATAACTTTAAATTTAACATGTAATTAAAAAAGTAAATTTGAATTTTGAAATTATTTGTCTAATATATCATATAATTAGAAAAAATAAATTTTAATTTTGAAATAGTTTGCCTAATATATCTTTCTAACACGTGGCATAATATTAATGAAAAGTTGTATTAAAATGACACATGACAAAGAGAGTAAACCATTATTTTATTAGAACAGGGAGAGAAGATATTATATATGAGAAAAATATGTAATATAATCATTTTTTAAAGTTATTTTATTAGAACACGGAGCCTTCTCAGCCGCCACTTCCATGTCGTTGATTGCACGACCGTTGTCGGAGCCGGGAACCACCAGTCGCGTGCGGCTGTCGCCGTTCTACTGCCGATGAAGACGAGGAGTTGACGACCGGTTGCTGCCACACCTCCATCGTTCTCCTTCTCCTTCTTTCTGTCACCACCCGTAGCCGCCTGTGTCGATCGTCGGTGCTTTTCCAGCTGCCCTCGCATCCGCCTCCATTCCATAACAGCTAGTCGTCGCCGCTGCCTCCGTTCGAGAAATCTTCCCTTTCAGCGCTCCGGTCGAGGTTCACTACCGTTAGGAGGGACCAGTTGCATTCGTATGGCGCATGGGCTCGCGTTAAGGTGTGTTGCTATTGGTGTACATCGTGTATAGTGTTTGCTTGGTCGGATATTGCAAGAAAGCTATCACCACCACCGTAAGGTGGTGGCTGCCACTAGGGGTGTAAGGGAGCCGAGCTACTCGCGAGCTACTCGGGATCAAATCGTTAAAAGCTCGACTCGAGATCGAATTAAATGAGCCCGAGCCAAGCTCGAGCCTAAATATGAGGCTCGTTTATTAAACGAGCTCGAGCCGAGCTTCAGTTAATGGGCTTGCGAGCCTAAATAAGCCTAAACGAGCATATATATATATATATATATATATATATATATATATATATATGTGTGTGTCTATATATATATATATATATATATATATATATATATATATATATATATATATATATATATATATATATATATGTATATATATATATATATATATACATATATATATATAGGCTCGCGAGCTCACTAAATTGTTCACGAGCCGAGCTCGAGCTTCTTCATAATTAAACGAGCCGGGCTCGAGCTTGGTTAGGCTCGGGCTCGGCTCGACTCGTTTACACCCCTAGCTGCCACCTTCTGCCACCACCGACCGCCACAAGGGTGGTTGTGCATGTGTGTGTGTGTTATTTTGTGTGTATTTCATTTGGATAATGTGTTGTATGATGTATAATCGAATTTTGGTCGGAAAACCTGTCACCACCACCGTGAGGTGGTGGCTGCCACCTTACGCCGCCATGCTGCTGCCACTGTGGGTGGCTGTCTGCTCTTGTGTATCATTGGACTGGTTTGAGATGTTTTGATGTGTTTTGATTTAGAATCATAACCACCACCACCAGATGGTGGCCGCCGCCGTGAGCCGCCGTTGACCACCACTACCCGAGGTGGTAGTAGGTGGTGCCCAACTTGTCTAACCCTAATGGACCCAATGAAGCCCTAAATAATCTAAAAACCTAATTTGGATTAATTTGCTTGTAATTTGGTTGAAAACCCTAATTTTGGAAACGTGTATTTTAGATTTGTCGGGACCCACGTTTGGACCATTGGATTTGGAATTTTGAATTGCACCCGACCACATTGCATGTTTGGACTCGTGGAGTGATGGGCTTAATGGATTAAGTCCTTAATGGGTTAAGTAAGAAATACTTAACCCTAATCGTCATTTTATGTGAAAAACCTTAATTATGTTTGGGTTCTTATTGGGCCACTTCTTGGACAGACTTGTTGTGGGCCTTCATGGGACAAATGGGGAACATGCTTATGGACTAAGGGAATTATTGGGCCTTAGGATAAGGCCCATTGGAAAGGCTTGGGCCCAATTTTGAAAATTAGGCCATAAGTGGGCCATAATTGGGTCTGGAGGATTATTAGCTATTGGGCCATCAGAATGCCAAGTATTTGGACTAGAATAAATGGTTGGGCCTTAAGATAAGCTCATGTAGAGGTTTGGGCCCAATTTGGAAAATTAGGCCATATGGTGGGCCTTGATTGATTATTTGACTTTGGGCTTCAGAGTGTGAATTTGGGCCTTGGTTTTGAATCAAACTAGGTTAGGGGTAAGTGAGTCTCCTTACCCCAAGTATGGAATTGTGGTTATGCATTGGAACCCAATTATTAATTGGGTGTCATTTTGATGTTGACAGTTCGGGAATCTGTTAACCAACAATGGGAGTTTTATCTGCGGGACTTCAGCAGTGCCAGGTGAGTCTCCTCACCATACCAATGGGTCTAAGGCACCAAGGTCGGCCCATTTATTTAGTTGTGATGATTATTGTGAATGTGTTATCGATACATTATGTATTTATGTGAAGAGCATGTGTGGGTTCCCATGGCATTTAGCTATATGTGGTATGCTAGTTGATTGTGTGGTATTTGGTATGCTAGTTGTCTTTGTGATACTTGCATGGAAGACCCCGGGGGGTTCCCGAGGCAGTTGGATATAAGGCCATGTGGGGGTTCCCATGGCATTTCAGGCTAAGACCATGTGTGGGTTCCCATCGCAATGATCTAAGACCATGTGGGGGTTCCCATGACATCCGGTGTAAGACCATGGAGGGTTTCCATGGCACCTTTATATATTTGTATGTATGGCTTATAGGGTTTGTATATGTGTACTGTTAATTGATTATGTGTTATATTGATATGATATTTGTATGGAAGACCCTGAGGGGTTCCTGTGGCAGTTAGTAAGACCATGTGGGGGTTCCCATGGCAGTGGGCTAAGACCACGTGGGGGTTTCGGTGGCACCCGGTATAAGACCTTGGAGGGTTTCCATGACATCCCATATGTTTGTATATATGCCTTATGTAATTCATATGGTTTATGTAGCTTTTATAGCTAATATGGATTATATGGTTACGTGGATTGTGTGGGGTATGCTCTGGGGAACTCACTAGGCTTTGTGCTTACGGTTTACAGTTTTGGTTTCAGGTATCATCGATTTGGAAAAGAATGCCTTAGATTGATCGTAGTGCACACACCTATGATTTCCGCAATGAATGATTTTGGGATGAACTCTGATAAATGTTTTAGTCTGATAAAAATGTTACTTTGGTTGCATTTGTTTAAGTTGTTTTTATTTCTGATACATAACCACGTCTTGGTTATCCTCACCACGTCGTGGTCTCGCTTCAGTTAATTATTAGTTTAGTGATTTTTATTCCTTTTACGCTTTTTTTTGTTTTGTTTCAGTGATTTATGACCCGAGGATCTAAAACACCTATTGTTCCTCCACTATAAGATCTAGAATCCACTTTACACAAGAAGAAAGACAAGAAGGGCGAATCGAGCAATACTTTCAAATCCGACAAATTCGAACTTTTTGAAAGGACGCTGATAAGTAGGGAATCAGATACGAACCAGAATCATCTACCAAAGGAAGTTTAGACGATTTAGAGCTAAAAATCAAAGCAGAAGAGATGACGAATATCACGAGAATGACGATGGGAAACTATAAGAAGCGGATCCGAGAGAATAATGGACCAGGCTTAATTCCACCCGAGATACAATCTGAGAGAAGTTTTGAGCTCAAGGTACATATTATATCCATGCTCAAGGACATACCTTTCACCGAGAAAGAGTATGAAGATGCTTTCAATCACATTGATGAGGTCAAAGACATTGCAAATTATTTTCATGTTCCTAATGTGCCAAGAGAATCAGTGTTACTAAGGATGCTTCCGGTCACTTTTACCGGTGAAGTAAAAGTTTGGTTGAAATCTCTTGCACTCGGATCCATTACTACTTGGGACACCCTTCGTGAAGGTTTTATTGAGCAATTTAGCTCACCTTCCCATATATCAAAGCTCAAAAAGAAGATAGCTAATTTTCAACAAAAGGTTGGAGAGTCTCTATATGAAGCATGAGAGAGGTACAAAGGATTGCTTAGAAGTTGCCCTCAACATAATTGGAATGTCTAACAATAAGTTTCTATTTTCTATGATGGGGTGAATGTCACAACTAGACAACTTCTTGACACCCAAGGGCCAATGACGAAGAAGGAGTCAAATGATATCAAAGAGTTAATTGAAGAGTTCGTAAAGCACTCACGAGAGTACCATAATCCAAGAGAGGATGTTACTAGAGGAAAATGGGATGGAGGAAATGAGAACTTTGTTGCAATCATAGCTAAACTCGACTCTATGGATAGGCGAATGACAAAGTTGGATCAATCCATTCATGCTATAAGAGTTGGTTGTGATAATTGTAGTGGTCCACATTTGCAAAGGATTGTGATTTAGATGAAAATGGGAATCGCAAGGCACAAGTGTTTTATTCGAGTGGTGACAAGTATGATGAAGATTGGAGGAAGCATAAGAAGCAATGGTTGCCATATGAAGAGTAAAAGAAACAGAAAGATGAGAAGTATAGACAAACTGGTCGGGGTTGCCATATGAAGAGTACAAGGAACTAAGGCTGCTGGAATCTAGTTAGGATGTCGAGTGAAATAAGAGATATGCTTGTAATAGTATTTTAGGACCTTTTTATTTTTACGTTGTAGCCTATGTTTGGATATTAATGGTGACATCCATGGTGTTTTAATAAAATGAAGTAACTTACTCAAATATTCATTAATTAAATTGAGATTTTCCGCAACACAATAACTTAAAGCGTAAAGAAAAAATTTTAATTGGTTCTAAAAAGTAGGAGATGTCAAACTATTTAAATCGTTTTAAAATACCATTGAACTAAAAAAATAGAATCTAACCAACATTTATTTTTGTTTTTAAATGACCATTATAACCGGAAAAATCTTTATTCTAGGATACAATGGTTTTTTAAAAACAAAAATAAACATATTACAATCACAATGGTCTTTTAAAAACAAAATTAAAAGTGTGTTAGCTTCTTACAACATTTATTTAGTTTAATGGTATTCTAAAATGTTTTCGATAATTTATTACACATTTATGTCATAAACTCTATTAAAAGGAAATGCTTATTTAAGTCATCAAATTTTTTTTTTTTTGTTTTATTTCGTCCAAACACTTAAAATTGATTAGCGGGTATGGGGATTGCCTGTTTTAAACATTTTTTGTAGAATTATTTATTAATTTATATGGTACCAAAACATAATTTAGGAATAATGTTTGAATTAGTTTATACACTATCAAAACACAACAAAACGATAAGTTGCTTTTAGTGTTTGTAAAGTTATGGTTATACATGTAAATAACTAACAATGACATGTTTAATAGGTAAAATGATATGGGTGTTGCTTGTCATGAAAGAAGAAAAACGAGACTAAATTTTTTTGGGGTTAAAACATTAGTAAATTGGTTTTAGGGAAAAAAATGAAATATGAGCCATTTCAAATCTACTTTTGTTTAGTATTGTTTAGTCTAGTTCCATAAAATCTTACCAGGCAAAAAAAATTGTTAAAATAATTAATTTTCATGTTTTATAATATGATTTACGAAATCCATACAAAACAAGGAAACAAATAAAAACGAGTTGAAGGAGAAGACGAATATAGACCAAAACGTCCTTAATAAATATCATGTGCATCAGTGCATGACGCATGACGTGTCATATCTTTATTGACAACTTTTATTATAAAGGCAAAAGAAAAAAGTATATGGACTAATATTGTAAATTAAGAATATATTGGAGGACTATTCTTGTAGTTTACTCTCCTTCTCACAATTTACATGTGTCACCCTTATCTAACACATGTTTTTGCAGTTCGCACACATATTGTATTTTCTCGCGGGACCTACCAAATCGTTCTGTAGAGTCTAGAAGATAGACCACATCCATTGTTGTATTTGTATGCAAGAAGCAGAGAGCTCGAAAGTCGAAGCTCAATGCCCACTTTTCTTCAACCAATGGAAGCACTTACTGTCGCATTTTGACTCACGTACACCTTCCTTCCACCCCCTTATATAAACCTCATTTGTTTATTTTCATTTTCATTTTCAATTTCAATTCCGGAGAGGCAGAATTGGATTTCCACACTTACAGATTAAGAAGCCAAGAGGAGAGACTCGGTGCGGATTAATTCTCCCCTCAGATCCTCTTTAATCTCGCTATATTACCTTTGATTCAAGGTTTTTTCTTCAACATTTGTGATTCGTGGTTTTTTTTGTTCTTCTTACCTTGTTTTATGCGATTACTTTGTATCTCTTGTGATAATAGAGTTTTGATTCATCAAGTTACGTGGAAATTCTAACAATTAGTTGATTTTATACGGAATTGTTCTTTTCTTTTCAACTTTAACGTACCAAAATTGTTATTATCATGCTTATTTTTCAAATTTTTAACCCCATCTAACTGTCTTTTTTGTAGTTTTTACAATGTTTTGATATAGTTATTGGTTTTTTTTCTCCGAGAACAATAAATGTTTTCATGAATTTTGAGAAAGAAGAAAGTAAGAAACTTGAATCTACTGTTTTCATGAATTTTGTTGATCTTCTATTTCTTCTTCCATGTTTGTTATGTCAGAAAAATTTGAGGGTTGTTCACTTTCTAACTGCCTTAACGACCACTTTACAACTTTATTTTGTTTAATAATGATGTTGTTTTTATTTTTTTGCCATTGTTTTATAAACAAAGCCTTAAACGTTCCATGGATTGCAAGAAAACACATATAATGCCTGATGAAATTACAAAAAAAATAATAATAATAATAACAAATAAATAAAATCCAAAGCCTTGATTACCTAGGGTTTGAGGCAAACATTTTTGAGAAAAGTGTAGGGGGAAATGGTTTATTAGCATATCTATTTAAACTATAAACTGTTTCTTTCTTTTAATATTGCCTTTTCATTACTATCTTTTAGTTCTTAATCTTTCTTTCTTATTTCACTTGAACCTTTTAAGAATTGCTTGGGTTTTTATATATTTAATATACTATTACCTATTTTAGTTTTTAATCTGCTTAATGTTAAACCTTTTTCTAGATGAATAAAAGTGAAAATTCACCATGTGAGTGTAGTTATTTTCATTTTCAAGTGTATGATTAGTTTCTTGTGTGCAGACTATGGATCTCGTAGGTGGACCCCAGAAGATTTTACACAAAATCTCACTGGTATATATTATTCTTCTTTCTAATTTCATTGTTAAATGCTAATAAGAGTCCATCTTCAAGGTGTCTGATCCTTTCCGTTTTCTTGTTATTTTATTAGTAAAAAATATGTGTTCATTTGTATTCAATTTGTTATTCAGAATGATCACATGATACTTGTGTTGCTGTGGCACATTCTTCATTTAATTGTGAAAGTCATATACTTTGTTTGGGAGAAGATGCGTGCAATTGAAAGCTATCTTATAGCAAATGGAATTGTGAAAACATATGAAGATCTGAATTTAGACAGAGTGAAGTATCTTGGAATTGTGGTTGATAGTGATGAAGCCCGTGAAACCTCAAAAGTTATTGAACTTTTGGAGTGGATTTCAGATATTGGTGTGAAAAAGGTCTGCCTTTATGACAGAGAAGGCAAGTGCTTATATGACTTCTTACTCATTTTATTTTCATTATAACTAATATTATTTGACTTTATAAATTACATCACATAACATATTAAGATGTACTGATGTTTGTATGTATATATGTAGGAGTGTTGAAGAAGTCCAAGGAAGTGTTCTTGGAGAAATTTGATTCTATGGTATATTCTTGAATCTTGATATAGTATTATACAAATGAATGAAATTACAATGCTATAATCCTTTAAAATCGGTTTGATGCAGGGGAATTCAGAAACTAATCAAAAAAGGCAAATGGATTTTGAATTTGTTTCAATCGTTGATGGAAAAGAAACAGTTGCTAAAGCAGCTAATCTGCTCTATAAAAAGTATTATTCTGATCCAAATTCAGAAAAACCGTTCTTCACTGAAACCTATTTGACCGAAGCACTGAGGATCCTAGGTATTTTTTTTTTTTTTTTTTACTTTCGCACTTTTTGTGCATATGGTAAAAAAAACTAAAAAATATATAATTATGACATCATTGTTTTACGTACTACTAGGTTCTAATGAGCCAGATCCTGATCTTATACTGATTTATGGGCCCACAAGGTGCCACCTTGGTTTTCCAGCATGGCGTATTCGTTATACAGAGATGGTGTAAGTCTAGTCACCTTTATTTTAGTAGAATTTGGATTGAAAAAAGAAGTTGACTTTTTTGACTTTTTTTTCTTTATGTGAGACAGACACATGGGATCATTGAAGAACAAGAAGTTTGGTTTGATTTTGAAAGCCATCAACAAATACACCAAGGTGAAGCAGAACTACGGTGAGTTTACTAGATCTGTTATTTGTTGATAACTGTTTTATATGTCCACACTAGCATTATACGCATTAAGTTTTTATAAATAATGCTTTTTTTTTTTCTATATTTTATATGTTTTGACATATACCTTAATACCAGGTTCTTAAGATACTATGGGTACGAGGAATCTTGTTACATGTGGTTATGAGTTAAGGTGAGTAATAACCTTATGTAAATCTTTTCCATGTGATTTTTTCTTGGTTTTGTATTTATGTCAATAAAAACACTTGACAAGAAGTTGATTCTGTATATAAATGTTGCAGAATCTCTGTGTTTTGTGCATGTATGAACAATTGGGATGAATGCATGATTGTATGATTGTAATATTTAGATAAATTAATGTATGTGTTTTTAAATATTTAGAAAACCAAAAGTTGTTTATCGTATTTATTATTGTTGGGATATCTTTGTATGTATGGGTATTGTGATAATTAGATGACTTCGATATCTATTTAGATCATGTTGAATACACTTTCTGAAATGTTTTGACCCTAGTATGCTTGGGTATCACAAAATTACCAACAATCTTTCCCCATTTTAGTGCAATCCTTGATTTACGAAACGAAATATATACAAACCAAAGCTCATGCATAAATGAAAATGTCTTCAATATTGAATTTCCATCTTAGTATATTACACATTCCAAATACTTGAGAATCAACCGGTGTTACTTTGGTACGAACTTTTTAACTCACTACACTACTTGAAGATAATACGCACCTGTGTTTCTACATCATGGTTAATACTCGACAATATAACAAGTTGTACTTCATTATCCATTCATTACCGTATACAAAGCCAAGTCCAAGCTTCTTGAAGCGACTACCGTTCTTTTAATCATTCACTAAATATAAGGAAGATAAACTTCATCATAAATGTCACTTGTAGCCTAACTATTACTTGCATGTCCGCACACATACCTTGGGATGATATACAACATGTGCTCGAATCTCTAAGTGTAAGTTTTCCACATTGAATTTAACTTCTAACTTTGTATTAGAATGAAATCCAATATCTCATCATTAGAAAATTTAAGTGGACTTTAGTCCCATCCTATCACATGCTTGTGCATTAAGTCTCTAGCTAACCCATTTGTCAAGTGGTTCGCTAAGTTTTGTTGACACCCAATAAACTCTACGAATATCACTCAATTCATGATTAATTTATGAACCATGTTGTGTCTAACACCGACATGTCTAGACTTATTATATATTTGGCTATATGTCTTACTTAAAGTGGTAGCACTGTTACAATAATAGAAATGAGTGATTTTGGTTCTAGCCACTATGGAATCTAAATAAAAAAAATAGTCATTTTTCTTTTTAACCAACAACATCCAATGCTACAAATTCATATTCTAGTTGAGTTAGTAATGCAAGGTTGTTTCTTGGAAGCCCACAAAATGTAACCTCCTCCAACCAAGAACACTCACCCACTTGTTGAAGAATGATCTTTTACATTGGTGATCCATCTTGCATTTGATTACTTGACAAACCATAATCCATGGTTCCTTTAGGTATTTAAAATACTTTCTTTATTGCTTGCCAATGATAAGTATTAGAATTTAAAAAAAATCTACTCGATCTCCAATAACATAAGTAATATCTGACATTGTCATTGTCATAGCATAAATCAAGCAAACCACATCCCTTGAGAACTTGATTGCGATACTGCTTCACCTAGACATAAGATTCACAATTGGATCTATGTGAGTGCTCATTGGAAACCAATTTTCATAATTAAATATCTTGAATACTTTCTCAACATAATGGATTGAGACCGGCCAACTCGACTACCACAAGGAGCTCTTTAACTAGATCTCGCCCCTCGATTCCCACCATCCGTCATGTTTAGAATCATATTAGCCTAAATAAGTGCGCTACGCACCTCCTAACTCGTATTCAGTTGACCTAAATCCCATTTGGTATTGTGTAAATCCCAATTACATAAAATCATTGATAACACTAAAATCACCAAGATTATTAGCAAATCGTCCTTTTTTTATTTGTAGATTTTAATTATATTAAATCTAAAGGTGTTTAAAGTTGTGTTTGAACGGTGTATGGTTATTCTACATTTAAACTAGATAGACGGTTTAATATTTTTCCTCAATTATTGATGAATTCTTTATCATGAATATACACTTATAGTACTGTCTATCTAATTGTAAAGCAATATAATTCAAAGTATCCGTCTCAACAAAACAATACAAGAATCTTATAAACATATGACAATTAGGATAACGCCCTCACATGATTAGTCTTAAACAACATCAAAATAATCAAAACATTAAAATTGATGAAAGCCACACACACACACACAAAAAAAAAAAATAATCATAACCCTAACTAGAACCATCATACTATAGTTTGCTTCAATTGGTTTTTAAACAATGTGTTTAATATGATGCTACCCAGCTATCTTATTCAATTGCTTTTGTATTTCTATAATCTTCTTTTCGAACTCGTTAACTTTCGTCCTCGTATCCTTCCATTTGGAATTAATTTGATGTGTTGAACGATCTGAACCCCAAGCTGTTTAAACTGATACAAAACTATTCCAAAAAATCATACGATCTTTGTAATTTCCTCGGTTATTATCTTCCAAAGGGTCGGTATAAGATTTTGCCAATGTTACTTCTTCATGTTCAGACCATTGTTTGCATCTTTGGGATCGGCTAGGAGTAGAATCCATTTGAAATGAAATTGGAATGAAATTAGAGAGAATTGGAATGAAATGAGAGAAAATGTGTGGTTTTTAAAGTGGTAGAAAGTTGTAATAATGGGTAAAAAGGATTTATAAAAAATTGAAATTTGACCATTGATCAAAAAGTCAACAAGAGCTCACATATGCAACAGTGTAGGTAACCCCGAACAGGCATTCAAATGGTGGTACCGCCCGAGGAAGGGTCATTGTAGCCGGCAGTACTACGCACAACCAACGGTTGTTGCTGCTCCACTACGTCCACAGGTAACTCGGTAAGTAGTCCATAAAACCACTCAAAATATGCACAATCTTACTTTTTATTTGGAAAATATTGGCAACCAAAGAGATGTTTTACATGGGCTTTTATCGGCCCATTAAACCGAAAAGTTAGTTTGAAAACCGATATGTCTTTTTAGTCAACCCTAAGAAATTGTTGATTTTTTTGTCTGCACCCGTAAATTTGGGAGCTTGAGCGACTTGATTGATAGTGTATCGCTATTATTCTTCTAAAATAATTGGTCCACGAAAATGGTTTTTCTAAAATCTAAAATCCGAAACACGTGTCCAAAATATGGAATTTCCAACAATGGTCATTCTCGAAAATGAGTTAAAAGCCGGTTAGATATTAGATATTTTGCCATTTTGAATGGCCACTTTTGTGATAATCCCTATTTTTTTTAGTTTAACATGCACCACGATAATGAATGTCATTTTTTATGTACCCTGTTTTTTGAAGTAGCTTAATAGGCACCACATTAATGAAAGGTCATTGTTTGTGTATCCTTATTTTTTTTAAGTAGCTTAATAGGCACCACATTAATGAACGTCATTTTTCGGTCAATTTTTGTAGCCCTATTTTTTTTAAGTAGTTTAATATGCACCACATTAAGACTATTGGGTGTGGGTAACATGTTATCACACCCAAAAGGTGTCACGTCATCATCCTATTCATACATTGATGTTATAACACCTAATGTGAAAATGAGCAACACCAAATAACATGTGATAACACCTCTTATTTTCTATTTTTTTTTATGTTTTAATTTCTAATTTTCCAATTTGTTTTTTTATGTCATATTATTTATAAAAATCATATAAATTAAATCATAAATTAAAAATAGCATTTAAAAACTAAAAATAAATTTTAATAAATCCTAAATTAAACATATCATTAAAAAAATTACAACAAATGACAAAAACATTTAAAAACCTAAAAACAATAAAAGATGAGAAAAATTACATTTTTTTTCTTAAATTATTCATTTTCGGTACCATCATAGATATGATCTACCAAGTCTTCTCGAAGTTGCTTGTGCTTTTGTTGGTCTTGAATATCAACGACTCTATGTAAGTATCTCGATGTCCCTGGTTGAAATTGAATGTGTCTAGGTTCCGTAGGCGAATACTCTGCAATATTTCGTCATTTGTCTTCAATCACCATGTTATGCATTATGATACATGCATACATAATTTCTCGTAGAGTTTTTAACTCATACGATCGTGCCGCGTGTTTAACTATGTGTCATTTTGTCTTTAGAACTCTGAATGCACGTTCCACGTCCTTACGTGCTCCTTCTTGTCTTCTCATGAAAATTTTGTCTCTTGGTTTTACCGGGTGTCGTAATACCTTCATAAACGTGGAATATAATGGATATATTCCATCGGTGAGGTAATACCCAAATTTATATTCATTTACATTCACTGTGAAAGGAGCATCTGGTGTCTTTCCTGTCAAAAGATCCTCAAATATTGGTGACTGGTCAAGAACGTTTACGTCGTTGTTGGAACCTACAACTCCGAAAAAAGCATGTCAAATCCATAAGTCTTGTAAAGCAACAACCTCTAATACCAACGAAGGCGGTCCAAGATGACCACTTTGTGTATTGACGTTTCCACGTCACTGGACAATTTCTCCATATCCACTTTGTGCAATCAATGCTTCCAAGCATACACGGAAAACCATGTCTTTGCTCATACGCCACATGTAGTTGTTGCATAGCATTCAATGAAGGTTTGTGCAAGTATTTGTCACTGAATGTTTCAACAACACATCTCGCTAATCTATACAAACTTTCTCGTGCAGTTTGCTCCAACATTCTCATCTAGTCATCAATAGAATCGGGCGACTCCCTCATAGCCATAAGCTTGATTGCAACATCACATTTCTGCAACCTTGTGAAACCTCGCTTACCTCTCACATCATACCTCATTTGGAAAAATTCATGCCTAAATATTTATTTAATTGATAAAAAACGATTATCTAAAAACTGTATAAAAAAACACATATATTTAAGTGTATTTTTTATCTAAAAACAATTATCTAAAAATTATACTTATGATACCCGCTTTCCAATGCATTGGCTATCCGTTGAAACACATTTTTTCGCAAACTAAACCTTCTTTTGAAATCACTTGGTTGGTAGACACAATTATCCGCAAAATAATCGTTGACTAGACGTTTATGCCCTTCTTCACGATCTCTATTTAACGCAACACGTTTCGTGAGTAGTGAAGTTGGCTCTGACTGTAATAGCACGTCCATAGAATCGTACTCACAAAGATATCGTTGTTGTCGTTATCATCGTTGAATGGATGGAACGGATCAAAATAATCCATTTTTTGTTTTGAAAGTGAGAAATGAAGGTATTTTGAAAAAAAAAACATAAGTGAGAAATGAAGGTATTTTGTGTAAAAAATTAAGTGAATATGTATTTATAGGTGAGTAAATTTGAAAAAGATTTTTTTTTTTTTTAACTTTTCGACTGTTCTTGAACGGTCCAGTTTTTAACCATTGAGTGAATTAATCCCGTTGCCTCCCGTTACCATGCCAACGCCTAATACCATAACACCAAATAACACGCACCCGGGGCGGTGTTCAAGGCGTTAAGGCGCCGTTATTTGGGTGCCAGGTCGGAAAAACGTGTTTCCCATAGCAACCGGTCTAATGAAATAAATAATGTACAACTGTTCACCTTCGTTTAATGCTATCTGTACTTGATGATATTAAACTTTTACTTTGCATATCATTGAATAAACAAAAGAGGATGTTAATGGAAGAAAAAACATAGAGGTAACGACGTGTTTATTGTACTTGGTAAATCTTGGTTTGACCAATACTTTTGAAATATACGAAGCAAGGCCGACAGAAATCATTTTTGGCTTTGCAAAATCGGAATTGTAAAACCCTACCAAAATAATATTATTATAGATTTTAAAACAAAAAAAAAAACACATCTCATGTGATGCCCTCTGTTTCCTGTATCAGGAACCTTCAACCCTTGAAATCTTGATTTATTTGTATTGTTTGTACCATGATCACGAGGTCTTGGTTCCTCGTGTGCATAATATTTTGTTTTTTGTTTGGTATTGAATTTCTTATCATTTGATAGTGTAACTTTGGCAAGAAGATTATAGAAATTCATAAATGCTTGTACAACTAGTCTCGAACTAAGTTAAATCTTTCTTAGCATTGAGTTATATCAACATGAAACAAGTAGCAGTAGGCAAAAATTAGAGAGTAAACTCAACTCAGTTCAATGGTAAACCAGAACAACAAGCTCACATGTAAGTGAACTGTAAAAGAAAAGGAAAATTGCTCACTGCTATAATTGGGTAAAAATTTCAAAGTACGTCTTTAATAAGAAAAAGAAAAACAGAAAATACAATGTAGTAAATGTAATAGACTAAAAAAAGTAGAATGTTATAATAAACAAATAAGTGAAAGTGAAAGTACATTGCTATTTCTTGCATTTAGTGTAAGCAAAGAATAGTGAGAATAAATAAGAGCCTAATCTTCAATTACACAGCCACATTACATTACTCCATTATATGTATAACCATAACTTTAGATTCTAAAGTTATATGTCAAATAACATTCTAACATTACAATCTAAAATAAGAAACAAAATCCAACTAGACAAACAACCCTTTGAGTGGATAAATATTTGACTAGTCAAAGATTTATAACTTCCAACCTGCAGGTATGATGCATGCCACATCAGCAAAGTCACGGTTGCCACATCATCTACAATCATCACCATTAATCTAGTATTCTGTTTCCAATATCCCATCAATGAGTCCAAATTCCAATGCCTGTGGAAATAACCAAAACATTAACACAGAATAAAATTCAAGAAAATAAAATGAAATAAAAGTTGAATTTGTTTTCAAATGGTACCTCAGATACAGATAAGAAACGGTCCCTCTCTGTGTATTGTTGCACTTTCTCCAGTGGTTGGCCAGTAAAGGCAGCATACATCATGTCGATTTTCTGCAAAATAAAAAAAGAAAAATGGTATAAATAATATTTATATTGATTATTACTTATTAGACAAACAGAAAATGAAAATTCAACTGGGAAAAGATAGATAGATATACAGACATGGCGAGACTGAACAGCTTCATTGACTTGGCGCCTTACATCCTCAACATGACCCTACAAGAAACAAACTAAGAATTGAACTTTTGTTTTTATTTATTTCATAAATATAATGAGGGTATTTTAGTCTTTTAACAAAAGAAAGGAAGAACAGAATTGGATCCCTCCCACCCTCCTCTAGGAACGTGGAAATCCATCAAACATGGAATTTGAAGGATTCCAGGAAATGAATTCTGTCCATTTGGCATCTAAACAAACCTTGGAAAAGAATCTCAAATTCCAATTCCACATATGCATAAAGAACGAAAACAACAATTTATTCTTCCAAATAACAAAAAAAAAAAAAAAAAAAAAAAAAAAGTAATTAGGCATACCCCACATCCACTTTGTGGTTGATGTATCATAATACGTGCATTTGGCATTGCATATCTCATGCCCTTTTCCCCACCAGCAAGAAGAAGTGCTCCTTCACTTGCAGCAACTCCAAAAGCCACTGTCCCAACTTTAGGTTTTATCTGACAAGATATTAAATATTCAAATTTTAAATTAAAAAAAAATGCCTATTTTTTCAATTAGTTTCATTAACAGGAAATGTGAAACACATTATTCAATCTTACCCAAGACATGCAATCATAGATTGCCAACACAGAGTAGGTGCTCCCACCAGGGCAATTCACATACACCTAGTACAGAAAAACATAAAAAGTCAGAATGTAAGTCTCTTTATCTGTAATTTTTATTAAAATTGAAAAAGAAAATATGTATATGACTAAAAATAAAGGAAGTCATTCACTCATACCAGAATATCTGCCTTGTCATCTATTGTGGCTAAAGTAACAAGCTGTGATATAACTCGTTGAGCTACCTGTGAGTTGATTGGTTGACCAACAAAAATAATACGGTTCCTGAATAATACTGTAGAAAGATCCAAAGGTCCACCTGGAGTCATGACAGCTGGCATTATGGGTGGAGCCCCTCTTCTTGCTACAATTGGATTGTAACTGCTCAATTTGAAAACCAAAATGAGAACAAGTATGTTAATATATATATATAGCCAGATAACATTACTGTTCAATCGTGCTTATAACATTACTTTTTTTTATAGTTTTTAGCATGATCATTGTCAATAAGATGTGAAATAGCGAAGCATCAAGGGAGTATAGACACTAAACCTTGAATTATGAAGAGTATTTGGGTGCATTTCCTCAGGTGTCAACTGCAATTTTTGTGCTTTACTTGATAAACCTGTTAGCAAAACAAATAAAAGAAGTTGAAAGCAAATATATGAAAGTTTACTTGATAACCATGTCAATAGGACATATCATAGAAGTTAGAAACATATAAAAAAGAAAAAGGAAAAGAAGGGAAGAATAAAGAACTGTTCCCTTCTTTCCAAAATAAAATAGGGCTACTTTGACTTCTGATGTAATATGGGCTACTTCTTGACACTTCAAACTTCATATGGGTTTACTACAACCTCCACATCATAACTTCTATCTCTATTTTTTGATATGAATTTGACCTAACTAACAAGTGCCCCTTGAATCTACAAAGAACTTGTATAGATTTTAAGTTGGAAGTAACCCATTCTTCGATATCAAAGTGTGTTTCTTTTGGAGAGTGTGAAGCATGCCACAGGAGTAACAAAAGTAAGAAAAGAGTAGCAGTTTCATCTCAAACTAAGAATGACTGCATATTTCACTTGTGCATATAGAAAGAAGCAAAGAATCCAACTCTTAGCATTAATTTCAAAATTTTCTTTTCAATTGAAGGTAAATAGTGTAACAAAGGAAAATATATTAAGCAGAGAAATTGCATTGCTAACTCCTGTTTGTTGAAAAAAGAGCTTTGCATTACTCGATTGTATATCTGCAAGGGGAAGGGAATTTGGATTCACCACCACCAATGTATTATCAGTTAGAAGCAGGCAGATACCATTCCAGTAATTACATGATTCAAACGCAAAAAGGAAATGTTCATTGCTTCACAATTAGTTATAATTTGCCCTACTTCTATAAGTAGCAATCAGTTGTCAAAATTTAACCCAAACTGAAGAAGCACTCTATTTGAAAACCTGAGAGCGAGGAACCAAATAATTCCTACCGATTTTAGAAGTATCACTGTATGGACTCGGCAACGTACAAACAATTAATTTCCTCTTCGAATTTCTGGGAGAAAATAAACAAAAGTCAAAATCGAAATCCGAAGTCGAAGGCGAAACAATCAGACGATAATGATACAAGTGAAATAATGAAAATTGAACTACCAAGTATCATACCGTTGAGAAAACAGTTCGTGCCGTGAAACTTTAGAGAAAGTAAACGACGTTGATATGGCGGAGGCTGCCATCGTTCCTACTGCGTGTTTGCTTGCGCTTGCAAAGGAGGGAGGGAGGTGGAGGATAGGGAACCCGGACGCCTGGGGACGGTCTTCAAGCTTTGAACTTATTGATCCGATGATCCGACCCGATCAATAAACCCTTATAAATTATAAATTGCAATTTTTTATAGTCTAATTTATTTATGGAAGAAATTTCTAAATAACATTAGTTTCTCTTTACATAATTAATCTTTATTAATCTACTCTCACGGTGTGGGGTGGCATTTAGCTAGGCAAGCATGACATATACACCGTCCCTTCGTCATCCTTTATCATGGCATCACAAGTAAAAAGTTGGTTTGTGACATTTGGTTACGGAAAAGAGATAATGTGCATGTGAATATAATGATTTTATTTTATCCTTTTATAGTTTTTTTTTTTTTCAAAATTCTATCAATTTGACCCACATTGAAAAGGCATGCCATGCATCATGTCTTGTGACAAAAATGATGTGGCATGTCATGCATCACCCCTCGGTCTAATAAATCAAGATCTTTTCTACCACTTGTCATCTTTTTATGCAGTTTGATATTTTTTATTTTCTCGTTTTTTTAAGTACTTAATACTCATTTGTTATTTTTGTGTTTTTTTTATTCAAATGTCACCAACTAAATATCACATCATAATAATTAATATATTAATTAATTACCATAGTAACCTTCCGTTGAATTCCTATATTTACATTTTATGCTTATCAATCTTACAGACTTTGCAATTTATCATCTCTATTGCTCAATCAAGGGAAATCAAGAGAATCATTTCGTCCCATTATATTCTATATGGAAATAACTTTTAATTTTAATTTAAGATGCTATCAATCATGTCATTACCTCTCTCACCGATATCGGTAATCCTTTCCAAAACTGATTATCAACTAGGGATGTTATTCGGGTCGGAATAAGACCGAACCGACCCGAACCCGAATAACCTGGAAACCGAATAAGGATAATTGCATGAACCAAAAACCGAACTGATTAACCAATACGTGTTTGATTCGGTTCCGGTATTGATCGGTTCGGTTTGATTATTACCCGAATAACCTGAATAACATGTACAAGATGATTAAGGACCTAATATAACCGAAAAAAAACCCAAATAAACCGTATTAAGATTCTATAACCTGGATAACCCGAATAATATAATAACAATGTACTTTTATACTTCAACATAAAACATTCAAAGACTAACATAACATAATAACACATTGAAAGAATAACATTTACTTAGTAGATTTACATAATGAGAATTAATTTCTTACTTGAGTTGGAGCCTAATTTTCCATGACTAGACAAAGTAGGAATTCGTGAATCCTTAGAGACAATATGAAAGGTCGGGTTTTGAAAGTTTGAAACAAGAAGAAGGATTGACAAAAGTGATTTCGAGTTTGGAAATAGATGAGAAGATTGATCAATTTTGAAACGATGAGAACGAGCATAGGGTTTTTTTCTGTTATGAACGACGAGGACAGAAGTGTAAATCGGATTTTGATTTATGTCGATCAAAGAAAGGGGAGGAGGAATGCTTATTCTGGTCGGGTATTTAGAACCAAATAAGCTCTTATTTGGGTGACCCGAATTGAATGACCCGTAAACCGAATAAGCATAATATAGATACCCGAATCGAATTGCTTATTCGGGCCTAATTCTGTTCGGTTCGGGTTTCGGTTCGGTTCGGGTTTTCGGGCCAACTTCTCATCCCTATTATCAATTTCATCTATAAATATGAGTTCATGTTGATTGATTACTATGGATTTATCGTATTAGTGGGTTCGTTTACCGTGTTAATTAAATGTGTCAACATTCACTAGTTATTTACTTTTTCTACTTTTAATATTTATTTATTGAAAATGTGATGCTTTTCCATAAGAATATTTGTATTTTATAATAAAATTTTAGAGTTATTTTTGAAGCTTGTAATGGGATTTTCAAAGTATATGTGATTTTCAAAGACTTATATTTAATATGTGCTCAGTAAAGCACATAGTTATTGTTAAGGCGTAGAATAAAGACGTGAAAATCCTAGTGGGGTCTAGGAAAATTTGTTGCATGTTGCATATGCCCATTTGGACACATGAATATATGCTAAATTGTTTTAGGGATAATGACTTGAGAGGGTAACATACTTTTGCCTTTGGTCACATTTGGTCATTGAACTTTTTTCCGTGCTCTATTAACCCTTTAACTTGTTGAATTGTGCTAATGTTCCCCTTCCGACTGTTTTTTGCTGGTTTCAATGGATTTATTGATCCTACGTGTCAGTTTGATCCTACGTGGCATGTAGGGTTATTGTTATTAAAGAAGGGGCGTATGTTGTTCCTTTATTGTGCCCTAATACCCCGATGCCCTAATACCCGATGGCTTCCTCCTACAGCTTCTCATCCTCCCTCAATCGATCAAGCAAGAAATCCACAATGAATGATCCAAAAACTTGTGATTGTAGGTTCCCTGCACGTATTCTAACATCAACAACACCAAAGAATCCAGGGAGGCATTTCATGGTGTGCAATGAGGTAAGCAATTTCACTTGAATTTTCCCTCTTTTCTGATTCATTTATTCTAGATTTGAAATCTCCTTTTGAATTTTTTGTGTGGAAGGGTAAATGCAAATATTGGAAATGGTTGGATGTAGAACTTGTACAGATGCCTCTAATGGAAGTGGTGGAGGGAATGAAAGCTGAATTAGTAGCATTGAAGACCGAAGTAGAGAAGGTGAAGGAAGACATGGAACAAATAAAGAAGGAAAAGTACTCTGATGCCATTGCAATTAAGGAGAAAATATATAAGTTTAGCATAGGATTTCTTTTTTTGATCATCGTGTATATGATGAAATGATGTATTGAAAGATGTTGTTTGAATAAAATGGAGTCATTATCTTAACTTCTTGTTGGAATGGAATGAAGTAACATTGACTGTAATGGAATCACAAAGAAGTAATTTTGACTGGAATGGAATCATAAAGAAGCATACATATTAACTTTCACTAGAATGGAATCACAAAGAATGGAGCCATTATCTTAACTTCTTGTTGGAACGGAATGAAGTAACTTTGACTGGAATGGAATCACAAAGAAGTAGTTTTGACTGAAATGGAATCATAAAGAAGCATACATATAACAATGAATACATATATTATTTTGACTGGAATAGAATCACAAAGTAGCATACATATAATTTTGACTGGAATAGAATCACAAAGAATTAGTTTTGACTGGAATGGAATCACAAAGTAGCATACATATAACAATGAATACATATAACAAAGAAATAAGTGAATGTGGTGGTTGGGTTCATTGAAATACTCCATTACTATTCGAAATTAAATAAGTTCTTGTCTGCATACACAAAAGTAGTTTCTAGGTAACACAAAAGATTCCTGCATAGACAAAAGAAGGGTCACCATGTGCCCACACACCTACTTGATAGTACCATAGAAAAACATAATAAAAAGACTACTACTTTGTCTTTACATCACAACTGCCTCACAAAAGATATTCCCACCCACCCACTAAATTAATCAATAACTGAAGGGTTATCTGCATTGCTCCCAACCCCAGGTATCTGCCTCCTTAATTCTTGTTTGATGATCCGTTCAGAATATTGCCTCCTTCCACTTCTACTAACTGGGACCCTTCTTCTTGGCATGGGGACTGCAGGTGGTGGTGGAGGAGGTGGTTGGGCTGCAGGTGGTGGTGGTGGAGGTGGTTGGACTACAGGAGGTGGTGGAGGAGGTTGTTGGGCTGCAGGTGGTGGTGGTGGAGGTGGTTGGGCTGCAGGTGGTGGTGGTGGAGGTGGTTGGACTACAGGTGGTGGTGGAGGAGGTTGTTGGGCTGCAGGTGGTGGTGGTGGAGGTGGTTGGGCTGCAGGTGGTAGTGGAGGAGGTGGTTGGGCTATAGGTGGTGGTCCTTCATTGCCCCTGGATAAACTTGGGTCTGCTCCACTTCCCCTGGATGAACTTGGTACTGCAAACAAAAATTAAAATGTCAATTCTTTGTTCAAATGATGTAATGTTTTTAAAAATATTAACCTGATGTATTGCTTTGCTGGTTAGATGGACACTTTTTCTTGCTGTGACCTGGTTCCTTACAAATACCACACTTTATTAGGCTTCCCCTTCTTGTGACAGTTTGTCTACTTGGTCCAGTCAACTCTCTTTCAATTGCATCCCTCTTCCTTTTCGCTGATGGCCTACCATGTAATCTTCTTCTTTTGGGAGGCAAAGGCTTGTGGTATGGAACATCTGGCCACATATCACTACTATTGAGAGGATTAATGCAATATTTGTAGCATTTTAGGTAAGCCTCGGTAGTGTATGATTGGGACACATATGTCTCTGCATCATGATTTAAGTAAGAGATTGTTGCCACTCCATGTAAGCATGGTATCCCTGTAAGTTGCCATATTCTACAGGCACACTTCTTTGCAATTAGATCCACTCCATATGCAACATCAGTGAATCTAACCTCATACTTTTGATAACCACAAGGAGTAACTCCCCACAATCTGTTTAAAGCAAAAAATATAAATCAATAACACATCATCATAATTAACATAAGCATATTAAAGTAAAAAACTTACCTATGTTTAACCTTCAAATCTTCTATACGCTTCCTAATAGTTGGACATATAAGCAAATCCCATTCCATTCCTTCAACTCTTTGAGTGTATATCCTTTCCATCACAAATAACCTAATCTCCTCCAGCATAGTGATTATAGGTCTCCTTCTAGCATGCCTAATAGTAGAATTGAAACTCTCACTGACCCCGTTCTCCACTGCATCACAATCTCTTCCTTCTTGAAAGAATGCCTTAGACCAGGTAGTAGGATCTCTGTCTATAAGGTAATCATAAGCATGAGTATCAATAGATTTGATCTTCTCCATTACACCTCTGAACTTCTCCACAGTACTAGCCCTTACAGCCCTCCAAAATAACTTCATGTATTCTTGACCAGTAAACCTTTTACTAAAATTGGCCACAATGTGTCTGGCACATTGCCTATGTTCAGCTTCTGGACATCTTTCCTTAACTGCTTGTAATAACCCCTACAAATCACAACATCATTATGAGTGAAAAAGCATAAAAATGAAGCATAAAAAGGACCTAGTACTAACCTTGTGTCCATCAGAAAGAAGGGTAATGCCTGCACCAAGACCACCATTAATGTCATCCATAAGCAAATCTATGAACCACTTCCATGTTTCTTTATTCTCAACACATACCATAGCCCATGCTAAAGGGTAGATGTGGTTGTTTGCATCTCTCCCAACAGCTGAAAGAACTTCTCCTCTAACTATACCCTTTAAAAAGCAACCAGCAAGCCTAATTACAGGCCTACACCCTTCTAACCAACCATCCCTCATAGCTTTGAAACACACATAAAACTTGGAAAACAAAGTTGTGGAATCTGGCATGATGTCTACATCCAACCTCACAGTAGACCCAGGATTTGACCTGATAATTTCCTCACCATATGACCATAATCTCCCATAATGTTCAATTAGACTTCCTTCAATCTCTTGTAATGCAAATTTCTTTGCATTTCTGCATTGCCCCACACTCACATTTATGTTGAATGTCGTTGACACTTTAGCTTTCATCTTCCTTGCACTCATTTTTGGGTTCTCTATAATTTGACTCATAAAATGTTTCCCTATCCATCTGTAAGTTACTATTGACCCAAACTTAAACACCCTACAACAATTATGTTCATTCACTAGAGATTTGATTTGGAAAGTCTTTTCTTTACTCATCCAGGAGGCCCATAGTCTGAAAGGGCAAGATGGTGACTTATTCTTTTTGCAACATTTCACTAACAATCTATTAGAGTCATTTTTTTCAAACCATAGATCATACCCATTAGCAACTGCATAATTGCTTAACATATGTTTAAGCTCAGTAGGGTTAGAAAATCGCATACCTATCATTGGTTTCATCTGATCCCATGGCTGTCTCTCATCATACACAGGGTACTGGGGTGGCTCGTATTCATCATCTTGATCTTCACTCTCTGTAGGTTCACAAACGATGTTTAAAAATCTATCATGTGCAGTTTTGTTTGCTGGAAATGGATAGGTAGCATCATCTTCTTCATGATCAACAGAATATGAATCTTGAATAACTGAATCCTCATCTTCATCTAAGTCTTCATTTTCACTTTCACTTTCCTCAGCCTCAATCCAGTCGAAGATAGGTTCATTATGGTGATCCACATATACATTCATTCTCTTGTCATTAGCATACGCCAAATCCAAAAATTCCTTGTAATCACCCTCGTTCACCAGTGTATAAATTCCAAGACCTAAAGACTCTTGTGGAAGGCAGAAATAGATGTCTTTGCTTCTCGATTTGGTGAGCTTGTGAAGGAATTCCATGAATTGCTCATACCCAAACGCACTGAAGTCAACATCTCGCACTGATGCTCTGTCGGGATAAAAGTAAACTAAGGGATTGGGTGCAAACTGACCATTGTAGTGGAAATCCACTACAATGAAGTTCTGATCAGTAGGATTTGGAGATGATGCCATTCTACAGAACGATTGAAGGAGACGAATAATCGATGGAGAATTTTGTGCCCTAGTCGAGTTTAAGGACCAAATGAGACTTCGGGGTGAGGTTTAACGAGAAGGAGACGACAAATCGGGGCCTACATGCCACCTCTTTCGCCACGTAAGATAAAAAGTACACGTAGGATCGATAAATCCTTTAAAACCGGCTAAACCCGGTCATAAGGGGAACATTAGTACAATTCAACAAGTTAAATGGTTAATAAAGCACGAAATAAAGTTCAGTGACCAAATGTGATCAAAGTTAAAAGTATCTTACCCTCTCAAGTCATTATCCCATTGTTTTATGGTTTCCATATGTTGTGACTTGGGAACTGTGAGACATATCTTGGGACGAATATGCATAGGTGTGAAAGGTAGTATAGGTTTATACTACCGGAAGCACATGATTTGTACTTGGATAAGAAAGAGTCATAAGGTTACTAAGGCACTAGTAGTTGAGTTTGTTTTGTTTGTTTCTATTATTACCTATGTTATGGTGATAAATAGGAAAGTAGTTTTGGTTCAAGACCCAAGTGGTCATGAAATATTGAATCCGAATAATATGAATCTGCGTAAGTGAGTTGATTGATTCAGAGAACCATGTAATGTATAGTGACCGACTTTAGTCGGGAGTTTGAAAAAGGAAATGATTGAGGTGATCGACAGAAGGATTGCAGCATCCATTGGGTTCAGTAGCAGTAGCTATAAATGCTAATTGTTATGATATAATCGTAGGTCGTTCTCCCATGATCAAAGGATGGAAGATCAGGTTGTTAATATAAGATGGAATGTATCTTCCATGCTAATATTTGTCTCATAGAGGCGAGAGTGTAATTCGTTATGTATCTATTGTGTCGTGCAATGGAAAGTCGTTAGAGTGAGACCATTTGGTTACATTTTTGTAGCCAAAGTAAAGACCTTATCTTAGGTTGAGGCTACTACCCAATTTAGAAAGCAGCAATAGTCTTTGATAAAAATCAAGTTTGTGACTCAAGAGCTAGGACTGAAGGTTCATATGAGGATGAAAGAACAAGTGCATGTTTAAGCACCGCCATCAATAGATAGGTTCAAACATATTGGTTTCTGTTCAAGAGGCTAGGGGAAATGCATTCATTGTAGCTAGAACATGAGGCGCAAGCAAGTGTCTTTTGTATGGTTCTACCTAAATTCTTCAAGAGATTATCAGAATGATCATTACAAAAATATTAATTAAAGCACGACAAGGTTAGTCATCCCAAAAAAAAAGGAACGAATAATATTGAGTTCAACAACCATCGTTGTTGCTAATGTTTCCATTATGTTAGTAATATCCTCTTATACCATTTTGCATATGTATGCATTAGTGGATGACTTTGTGATTTTCGTAATATTGATCAAAATGTGGTCATATTATGCGGTAAGATCACTTTTTGTAAACACAAATAATGATACTATTTTGAGGATGTTAAAGTCATTAATATGACAATCGGGAGTTTCTTCTAGTAAGAAAAGAAGCTATGAATCACATAAGTCGGGCCAATTAGGTTGTGATCGGTTGAGAGTAGTTGTAACGCCCGTGTTTCTAGGCTAGGCATTAATATTGAAATAATAGTATAGGTTAACCTTTGTAACTCATTTAGAAGAAATGAAAAGGAATTATGTGAATATTATGTGAAAAATTATGTGTTTTATGCTTAATTATTAGGGTTTAAATAATTAAGAATAAAAATGAGCGTCAAAATTAAATATTAGATAAAGCCGATATCTATTAAGAAACTTGTAGTGGGCGTGACAAGGATTACGGATATATAAAGAATGCCGAAATCCGAGTTGTAACGAAGAAGTTATGACCTGTCGAAGTTTCGCGATAAACCGGCACGGTGCCGAATGTCGTAAAAAGTGAGTTTTTGATAAACTACTTTTTAGCCTTAGTGATCTAAACGAAACTCGTAGTGCTCGTTAAACCGAGAGTATGTATAAAAAGAACGCCCAAATCTGACTTCGTATGAGGAAGTTATGATTTTTCGAAGTTTCAGCTTAGCAGTAGACAGCCAAAAACTCAAATTTTAGATCGAGTGATTTTTAGCCGACACAACCTAAACGAGAATCTAAGGTCTCGTCATTAGTAGCACAACGATAAAAAGTCTGACGAAAACGGACGTCGGATGAAGAAGTTATGAATTTTTAACGGATTTCGTGTCCCGGTCTATTAAAAATAATAATATAATAATTAAAGTCAAAATTAGCCGACGAAGTATAAACGAAAGTTGTAAAGCGTAATTTTACCTACGCGTGCATATAAAGAACGTCAAAAACGGAGCTCGTATGCGAAAGTTATGGATTTTAGAAGTTTTGGCGCGAAAATCGAGAAAATTTTCCAAAACCGAGGAATTTCGCACACGTGGACTTCGGCCACGTGTCCTCGCTTCGCATCCGACGCGTGTCCGATCTTGGTGTGTCATCAGCAACGTGTCCGAACCGTAGAGCTGTCCGAAGTGGTCCAATCAGGAGCCTCCAGCAGACCCCTCGCATGCGCAGCCACGTGCGAGCCACCTACTGCCTTCGCATGTGCGACGCGTGTCGCGTCCGAACCCTCGCTGGCACCGCCTCTTCTCGGCCGACTTCGGATCTCACCCTATAAACAGAGGGCTTGCGAGATCTTTCGGCTACTTTTGGAAAATGGGCATTTTTCACCCCTTTTTCAATATTTTTAGCATTTTGACTTCCCCCGATGCCCCGAGATCATTTCCAACGCCCGGAACACGTCCCAGAGTGCCCGAGATGCCCGGGAAATTTATTTTTTCGGTTTCGAAGCCCGACCTTCGCAGAGCCCGGTTTCTCAATAAAACTCCCGGTTTTATTAGAAACGATCGTTTTAGGCAACGAAGTGCTGCCCGGTTATCGATAAATCAGGTGAGTGTATAGTCACTTTCACCTTACACATATATATGAAGTATTTTCCTTAAAATACGTGCTATGTGTAATTATATTAATTGTTTAATTAAGGTGACTGTTGAATAAATGTTTTATACAAGTTTTAAACTGTATATGTATTTTTATCTACAAATATGTTGGGTAAAACATGGGTAGATGAATTAGATGATGTGTGATGAAATAAAAGTGATGAAAGGTACCGATGTTTAAGATGATCTAATCATCTAGCAGAGTATAAAGCACAAACTATTTTAGATAGTCCAGTGGAACGTTAGCAGACTTGTAATCGGTAGATATGTTTGAACTATATGTTCATAAGGTGTTCTCAAATTATATGTTCATTAGGTCTTTTTGAACTATGTGGTCATCCGTTAGTTCTTCTTTTTGACACTATTACGTGTCGGGGTACGGGAGCGTACGGGAGTACTTTATTAGTATTTTCCCTATACTTTTATTTTGAAGAACTTTGGAGTCTTTGTTTCTTTTATGAAGTGATCGAACGAGCTTCATGAGTCAGTGATATATATCATGAGTTAAATAGTGGGTGTGTGATGAAAGGTGAGTTGGATAGATGAGATGATCAGTGATATAGATCATGAGTTGAGAGTGAATGGTGAAATATGAGAAAAGCCATACCCAAACGTTGGCGTGAGTGGTGCAATATGAGAAAAGCCCTTACCCAAACGTTGACCCCCGTCATTCAGCAGAGTATGGATGACAACCACGGACTATTCTAGACGGTCTGTGGAACACTAGCAGGCTTGCAACCTGTAAGTGAATGAACTATATGTTCATTAGCTGTACTCTAAAAACCCATTGACATGTATTGCGGGGGGAAACTCCTGTGGGAAATACCATCGATGAATAAGAGCTATGGACTTAGCATATGGAAAAACCATTGACATGTATTGCGGGGGGGAACTCCTGTGGGAAATACCGTCGATGAATAAGAGCTATGGACTTAGCACATGGAAAACCCACTGACATGTATTGCGGGGGGGGGGGGGGACTCCCGTGGGAAATACTGTCGATAAATAAGAGCTATGGACTTAGCACATGGCGACGATGTGACTTCGTGCCTATTTGACATAAATTGCTGAAGGAAAGCAATGTTGTCACCCTGATGTTTGTCTTATTTGACATATATTGCAGAAGGAAGCAATGTTGTCACTTTATAGGTTGTTTTATGTTAGGATGTCTTGTTTGACATAAATTCTTGAGGAAAGCAATGTTGTCACCCCTTGTGAAAATCCTTAGGCTAGGTCCCTTGTGATAGTTGTTTTAGGGACGTAAAGTGAGGATAATGGGAATGGGTAATTAGGGTTACTTTGGTTGATGAAATTAATAAATTTATTGTTGATTGAGAACTTAATAAGTTTATTATTTATTGTGGGTTGAAAACCCTATATGCTCACCAGGCTCCCAAGCCTGACCCACTCAGTTTATTTGTATCACAGGTATCGATACGAAGTTGCTTTACACTGAGAGATTAAAAGAGAAGTAGATCACTAGTGTAAATGAATGTAAGTTTTGTTTATGCTTATGTTTTTGTATTGACAATGACATCCCAATGGTTTAAGTGAATAAAATTCATTTCTTCGGAAATGATTTGATAACATAGTTATCATGTTTATCTGGGAACAAATTCCGCAACACTTTTAATCAAATGATTACTCTGAAATTATTTTAAAAGCATAAATTAAATCGTTCTTTTCTGGCCGTGAAATTGGGGATGTCACAGTAGCAGCAGATAAGGGTTTGAACCCGAGTAAAGGAGAACCAACCCTTATGGAAAAGTGTGAAAGAAAACTCGACTTCGGATTCGACGTCAAGATCGAGGAGAGTTGCAACACAAGAAGCTAGGAGAAGAATTATAATCTTCGATTGTTGTTATGTAGATGATATAATATATATTTTGGTTGGAAAGTGAAAAGACGACATTAAATATCATGAGGGAACTTGAAACATTTACCTATTCCTATAGGTAAATAGGACGATCTTATCTTAGATCTCATCATCAAATGTCCTAGGATTGTATAGAATCACGATATGTTATGGGTCAGAAT